TGAGCAGATTAAGCAAACAGTATAAAAGTTATTTTCTCTAAACATTAAATTGAACATTACAGCACAGATCTCACCTGTCTCGAAGTAGCAGAGTTACACAGAGCACTCTGGTTGATCTGGTTGCCAGTGCCAGATAACTGCTGATGGTTTTGGCCATGATTTGGATTATAGAGGCTTTGTGAGTCTTTTTTGAGGGGTGGAACAAAGCGCTTGGGTTCAGAGACCACGCTTGGTGTTTCTCTGTGATGTGTTTTTAAGGGTGGGACAAACCGTTTTGGTTCAGGGGCAAAACTGGGTGTTTCTCTGAGATGTGTGAGGGCAGCAGGATCCGAAGCAATGCCTCGTTTAGGAGGGTGAGTCTGTACTGAACTACTGGAGGAGAGTGCTGAGGCCTGCTTGTTGCTGCTAATATTCTGTCCAAGTCTTTGGGCTCTTCTCTCCAAAGCCCTCTGTCTGTTTTCTTCTATCTTTCTCCACTGCTCTGCACTCAGTGGATTAGACATGATGATGAACTCTGCTGCACCTAACGCCAAGCAACGACGTTTGACTCACACTCAGAGTTAACAAAGATATCTAGTTAGCCAACAATCAAGTGATGCATGTACAAGTTTCTCCGTTAGCATACAGTACGTGCACTGTATGCTTCCCTGCTAGCAGTGGAAGCTAACGTTGGCTAGCAAGGGCGGCAACAGTTAGCAGCGAAATAAACCGTGTTAGTGCCTTACAGTCTATGGTTAGTGTTAGTCATATGGCAGCATCTATTCACTGGAGAGTACATGACCAAGAGTGATGTCTAGATACGAACAATGTTATTCAAAGTTGTACGAACGAAGCAGACAGAAACCTTTAACGCTAGTTGACAACTTACTTGTTCAACAAAGCGGTGAGTCTGCCGCGCAGGAAGTGACGTTACAAAACAACCAGGCACGTGTCGGTGGCGGTTGCCTGGTGATGTAGTCATAGCAACAAACATGAGCATCGATATTAACCATAGGCTATATTATTATTAACCCTTAATATTTACAGTATTAACCTTAACCATTACACGTTTTTAGATGTTTGTATTTCACATTATTTCGTGAGTACCCGAAAGTGTTTAATGCGTCAGCTTTAAAGAGAAGGCATGCAAACTGTTTCACTACATTGAAGGTAAGGTTGAAGTTTAGCTGGAAGAGGGAGAGTTGTACGCTACTCAGGGGCGCCACCAGGAACTCCGGGCCCCGTGAAAAGATCTCACATAGGGCCCCTACCACGGCCCAAACTAACCTAACATTTCTATAACTATCACTCAAACGAGCCATAAAAACTTTGCAACTATGCTTTGTTTTACACCCTGAAAATGGGAGATAAATAAAGATAAATAACCACTGTAATATTTCCTCATAGCTTAAACATAATTTAAACTTTGTAATATTTGCACCTTTCAGACAGTTGAAACATTTCCAGCAACACTATTTTACTTATTAACTTGCTATAGTTAATGTTGTAAAGGCTTTTATTGTCTAAAGTGATCTTATTGGTTAGCTTATTGAATTAAAAATTCTACTGGCATTAATGATAAACTGTAAACAAACAATAAATCTGAATTAGATTCTGCCATGACTTTAAAATGAGGCTGTAATAGTTCTTCTTTGTTCTGACTTCACTTTAATTCCTCTTACACTGCATTATCATTTGTCTCACCTGACGTTCAAAATATTGTTTTTTGAGCAAAGTTTTGCTGCTAGCGCGACAACATTGATATCATATGAATTGACAGTTTACAAAGAATCTGTTGATATCAAATATGTTACTGTAGCTCGCTGGGAAAGACGCTAAATATAGCTCCAAAGTGGACTCTTTTTTTTTACCGCAATGTAATATTTTTATAAAATAGGGTCATATGAAATCGTATCTATGAAGGGGATTCATGAATTTATGCATAAAACACAAATTGAACAAAACGATATTCTTGGCTTAATCTGGTTTAATCTGCAGCCTGCCACATCTCTCACTCTTGACTCGACCATTATACGTATTCATAAGGGGGGGAGAGGGCCTTTGAGACAGACTCCACATTTTTTCCAGAAAGGAATTCTGAATGTTTGTTCATTTATTCAGACAATTTTAGTTATCTTATTGCGTTTATAACATAGAGAAAAAAGCTAAATAAGAAATAGATTTTTATTTCAGGCCCATGAAGGGCCCCCCTCCCCACTGGGGCCCTGGGTAGTCAGTCCCACTTCCCCCCCCCCCCACTACGACGCCCCTGACGCTACCCTAAATGTAACGTAAACTTTACGTCTGCCCTGCCAACTAACAGGAAACATACCGTTCAACAAGGTAGGCTACAACAGTAAAATACTACAAAAATGCATTAGTTTTATTAATTTTAGAACATAGGCTACATAATTTTACAGATAAACAAGGTCTTGCAAATTGAAGTGAAAAATTCTCTTGAACTAGCCTATAAGAAAGCAGTGTTTGCTGATTAGTTCTACACTTTTGTACTTTTACTCAAGCAGGCATTTTGATGGACTTCTACTTGTACTTTTACATTGTGATATTGCTTTATTTTAGGTTGCCTAATTTAAACATCTGAAAATATGACATCATCGCTGTTACCATGCAGTAGATGTGTGCAGTGTTCTTCTGTAAACAGTGTCTCTGAATAGAATCTGCTCTATTGGCTTGTTTATTCTGATTACCTATTTAATGGGGCACTTCTTTACCCCTGAGGTATTATGAAAGGACAATCAATGGAAATTACCTGCCGGAGTGGAGAAGCAGCAGGAATGAGAGCTACAGGTTTAATGTGTTAGTTTACTGTTGGACACCTATTCAATGCTCATACCATAGACACTAACCTGACTAGCAGACATACATTTTGAGAAATAAAAAAAACAGCCAAACACTTAATCAGTATTTTAATGAGGAGCAATTTTGAGTTACTTGTACTTAAAGTTTTTTGTCATTACAGTTTTTATGTATGAAAAGATAAACAGACAGTAGGCTATAATCATTTTACAAAGTGTCCAAATTCACACAGATCCTCACAGTGTCCCAGCACACAAAACTCCCACAAACTCTTAAAGTTCTCACTTTCAACATTGATTCTAGCTCAAATTTGTTCATTTGATACTATTTCTAACATAAATCATCCTTTTTAAATATACTGATCTACTTTTTAATTATCATGGATCACATGGGGACACACCTCTATACCTTCATCACTACTGAGTCAGATTTTGATAGCCTCAATATTTTATTGTCTGCAAGTAGGCATAATCTTGACAATACGGTGCACCTGACATTTCCAATATAGAGTACTGGTCATCAAGCCAATCCATGTGGAGCTTAGAGGGAGAAAAATAAAACGTGTTTTAACTCATACTGACCACATTCCCCCAAGTCTCCTTTATTTATTTACTGGCATTTTGATTGGATTTTTAACCATTCCTCCTGTCAAGTCAAGTCAAGTTTATTTATATAGCACGTACATTTCATACGACAGGCATAGGCATAGACTCAATTTGTTTTTAAGACAGAAAAATAACAGGCAAAGATACATGACAAAAACATAACGTAAGAGCATATTAGATAAGAAGGTATTACATATAAAACAAAGCTTTAAGACAAAAGATACAAAGTTTATATTCTAAAATAATTAAAACCTAACTAAAAGCCTGCAAAAAATGTGTTTTTAGCTTGCTTTTAAAAGAAGACAATATTGATGAATGGGGCCATAGTGGCTGCAGGCTGATTTATAGTGGATTCTCGGTGAGGAGACCTTTATTTGATGATCTCAGGGATCTATCCGGTGTGTATTGAGTGAGCATGTTGGTAAGGGGTGAAGCCATTCAAGGATTTGAAGACAGTTAAAAGTATTTTAAAATCAATTCTTTGCTTTATCGGAAGCCATGAGATGTAAAAGCAGTGTGTTCAAGCCTTTTGGTTTTTGTCAGTATTCTGACACACCCTATATCCTTCAATGAGCCTCAGATTTTAATTTTTTTTTGTGGTCCATTAACATTTTCATGATGCATAGATAGTTTGTGTAGGTAATTCAAAGAACTCCATCTCTGGGTTCTTACCCTAAATGAATTCAGCCTTAATGATATAGTCTAATTAATATTTGATTAAGTTAACCCAACAGTAAGAAATTGTGTATACTATCACCAGCTACAATATTAAGACGCTGCTAATAATCAGCAGTTTATTTGATAAAATTGACAGTCTATGTTTTACATTGTGGTGTTGCAACATTTTAGTGCTGATGTTATAACTTGACTAAAAACAAAACAAAAAAATATGCAAGATCTTAAAGTAACAAATGACTCATTCGTCCTTTTAATGGAAAACTCTCTACGTGTCTTTTTATCCAGCTGAATCTTTATGAGTCTTCTTTTCTTTCGTGATAGTAGGTTACCTTGAATATTTCACATTTTGGTCTGTCAAAACAGCAATATGATAAAGCCAAATAGAGCTGTGGGAAATTGTGATGGGCAGCAATACAGCATGATGAATCTATTAACCCACATAGTGTTGGGATGTAGATAGTGTGGACTGATGTGGTCAGCTTATGAAAATAAAAGTTCTACGTCTTCCATCATTTCTTTAATTGTGTGTTAAATTAAGTGTTTTTCAGTGGCTGCTTTATTTGAGTCTAGCCTCCTTTCTCTTTCAGACATTACAATTTTTAAGACTTAAGCCACTCTCAGCGTGATTGGTATTTGTGCCAAGCAAAATGACAATATTTAACTGAGCTGCTATCAATAATTTGTGTTTGCCTTGTGCTTGAATTGTTTAATTATTGATTATTAACTTAATTTTCTGCTTTCAGTTTGCATGATTAAAGGAAAATACACATTAATGTCGCCTTTAACTTATCGACTTCTTCTATAATGATAAATTGCTTGCCTTAAACAAGTAATCAACCATCTCTCTGTGTATTTGTCTCAGTCCACACTTGTAGTAATGAGTGAGCTGCTTGCATCACCGTGCGCTGCGGTGACGTGTGGCGTCTGGGAGCTGTCCCAGGAATCATGGTGCTGAAGCTGCAGCACCGATTCAGCAGCCAATGATCACAGGAGAATCCGGGGCTACGGATGCTTTCACCCAGAGCAGGACAGTCCGACAATCGTGTTGGATTATAACGGAGATTTAAACCCATCGGCTTTTTCCCCTGGACATGGAAATTCGATAATTGGGGATGTAAGCTTCACACAGACTTGCCAGCGACCTGCAGTCTGGCTGGAGATCTATGAGAAAAATCCCGAAACTGTGAGTCGTAGACATCGGGGTAGCTCGCCAGGTAAGACAGATTTCGCTTCCTAACATGGCACGCCATCGATTGCCTTGAAAGCCTTTCAAGACGTCGACAGTAATATGAGCTCTGCTGATATCAAATGTGTATTATGCATTATGTGTTGTTAGAACATTGCATTTTAAGAGTGAGCGCTGACATTTTGTTTTGTAGTCTGTAACAGTCCATTGTACCGAAGACAGATTTTGATTCTGGGGTTTCTGGGCTCGTCGTGAATCTGGAGGGAGAAGCCTGTCGAGATAGTTTATGTTGTACAGAGCTGCCAGACTATTAAGGCCATGCAATGACAGTGGGCACACAGCCTTATTACTTGAATGCATATTCCTATCAATCTAACATTTGACTTTCCTCTTTTAGCTGTTCCATTTATTGAACTTAATGGCTTCAGACACTTGTTTGCATCGATGGGATTTATTTGCCTTTTGGATTTACATTCTGGAGGGACGACAATAAAATACTTTCAATTATAACATTTTAACAAAGAAAAATAAAGTCTGCTTTAACCCAAAAAATCGCAGGAAAACAGACTTTCCCACCCGTCCACATATGAACAAGTGTTTTGCTCATGCCGGGGATACATACAGTACATGCTGATCTCGTCCAGCACCTTTGCACGGTGCTTTGAGTTTGTGGCCGGAGACAGCCTGATGCTGCGCAGCCAGGGCATGCTAAAGAGCCGCTGCTGCGTTCTGCTCGGTGACCTGAGGGTGCTCCTACTCGGGCCACCGGCACCACCAACACCGCTGCCTCCGCTGACCCCCATGAGCAGCCAAACTACGGAAAGCCATGAGACAGGCGTCACAGTACCCGACAACAACAACACGTTAACGCGGAGCCACCAGCACGCAGAGGACCGCGCTGCCCCACCTACCGCGGGAGCCACCGGGCCACCGGGTGGAGAGCGACCGGTGTCGGGCTGGGTGGATGCTGCAGAGCTGTCAGCGGCCCTGCGTGGCTGCAGCAGCTCCTCTGATGACTGCTCAAAGGGCAAACTGGAGGAGAGGTTTTCCCTCACCAGCTACACGGAGAGCGGCTTCAGGACGCCTGTGTGTCGGATCTGCTTCCAAGGACCAGAACATGTAAGTCCAGAAAAAAATGTTTTTTCTAAATCTTAGAAAAATATATTTCTTCTAATCAAAGAAGTTTACATTTGATACAGAAAAATATTTATATTTAATATTTATTTATACTCTTATACCTCCTATAACTGAGAAGCATCAATATTTTTGGTACATTTTTAGTTAAAACAGAATCCATCAACTCATTGCACTCCAAGCAGCTTTTTGACCAAACTAGTGAGTTGACTGTTACACCCTAAGATTCAGAAAACTGGGCTTCCCTTGTGAAGCTGCCTTTCCAGTGAGGACAATAGCTGCTGGAGAGCCATCTGAAGAGGGATCTTACTGCATCCTGCAGTCAGTCCTTTGTGTGGCTTAAAAAGACAACTATAGCTCACAGTGGGAGGATAATGAAAGACCTTATCCCCATGGTTGACAAGTGTGGAGGATACACCAAGATGCAGTAACAACTCGTTATAGCCAAACACTGTGAATTCATATTGACGCATTACATGTGTGAAAAAAAGAAGAAAATCAAATGATAACTCTCACTTGGTGCTCACAACCAGCCGATAGAGGGAAAAAGTAATAATGATAATGTGCACAGAACAGAAGGGAAGAGCCGCAAAGCAAATCACACAGCGTGCCTCCGCCTTTGGGGCCATATCGATGATAATGTCACACTTCATCAATCAGGAGAGGAGAAATCTGAGAGAAGCTGGCTTAGGTGTGCCACAATAAATAATATTAGACTTTAAAAGAGAAGCTGGCACTTGGCAATTTACAGACACATTAGTTACACTGTTTGACAGAGCCTTTGAAACCACATTGACGAATATGTCACACCTTGCCAATTAGTAATGGCGGTAGGGACGTTGGAAGAAATGTGAAGCAAGATAACTGAGTATGCAGAACATAACTTTGTATCTGGCAGTCCGTACTCATGGTTACTTTTTACAAAAGCAGCAGATAGATGATATCATTTCACGGTCATTGCACTGTGTATGGCCTGTAATCTCTCTATGTTTCATCAACTAATTACTCCAAGAGCAATTCTGTGCTTCAATCCACCTCTGAGCCCAGACTTTGTAATTATAACTGACATGGGGTCTACTTAGGAGATTGAAAACAAGGCCTGATCTTCTTTTTTTCCAGAAACTCCACAGATAGTCGGCACACCGCAGTGCATATGAATTACCGCCTTGAAAATTTGCAGTATTTCCCATGGCTTCCTCCTCCGACTCGTCTCATCGATGCCTCCTTGAGACATTGCAGCTAGTCAATAGCACTTGAATTGGGGCCGTCTTATCATTATTCAAGTTCTTATCTATCAGCGTTCTTCCTTTTCCTGTCATCTCTGCTGTTGGCTTGGGTGAAGTCCAGATATGGATCTGCTGAGGTGTAAATGGGTACAAGGAGAATGAGGCTCCATTTGAAAAGAGAGATGAGTGGACTGTGTCACTGTGTGATACAGGCAGCGAGGACATTAGTTATCCTCTGTTCTCTTTAAGCCTTCAGGATGTCACATAGACCAAGGCAGCCAGTATATCATTTGACAACCAACATCCAAAACACGTCCTTCTCCGAGTCTGAGATACTCGAGTAAGAGTAAAGAAGGGAGCAGAGGCATTTCTTGATCCTTGAGTATCCCACTAGAATAAGACACTAAGTCTCTGACAGAAGCAACCACTGAAAAACAAATGTACTGGTGATTAAATGTGACATCAAACATTGTAATAACTGCATAGTCGAGTTCATACTGGAGTATTTAGGTAGTTTTTTCTTTGAGGTGCTCTTAGTATTTTGCAACCAAACTACTGTTGTTTTTCTGGATATAGGCAATGCAGCCTTTTCTCATACAGTATATGAATCATACAAAACTGAATACAAATATGTGCATCCAAAGGCCAGAGGTCTGTAAGACCAAGTCTTACTGGAGGTAAGATATTCCTCCTTATGTTAGCACAAACAAAAACTACAGATGTAGACTGCTTCTCTAATTATGCACACATTGTAAGCAGTATAAAGTACAACTGAGCCAATTTCAGATGAAATGACAAGAAAGCAATGAGTCTTTTAGAGCAGTACCCGGGGTTATTCATGTATATTTTATAGACAGCTTGCTAGAGACGTATTTCAGCCTGTTACTGTTTGCATTTAAGGTCAGCAAAACGCTTTGCAGGGGCATTTGCTTTATTCAAACTTGTGCTTTCAGACTAGAGCTTGACCTGGCCCCTCGAAGAATAAGCTATTTCTCTGAATCACTCAAGAGATTTTCAGGAAGTAGTCAAGTCGTGCACAAGCTTATGAAAAAGAGATTTAATACAGAAATATCCAAAGAAAAGTCATGAAGTATTACCCTGCATGTGGCATCCTCTCCTGAAGTGTCATGCACTATTACATCCAAGTGCCCTTTAGGGCTGATGCTTCTACTGTCCTGTCCTCACTTCAGTGGCATGTTGAGAATATGTGAGTCCCCGCTGCTTTGAAAAAATGTTGGCTTTCCCCTCCTAAATCACAACACAGATGATACACTTGCACAGTTTGTTTGTCTGAAGCACAATGAGAAGCCTTGAGGGGTCAAGTTAGCATCATTCTTTCTATATGGCCCCACTGAGCAGAAGCACTTTGCTCTCCTTATCTATCATTGGACTCCTCCTCTGCCATTTGTTGGGAATAGATTACAAACAAGTTACATAACCACGCGACATTATTATTGGAAAAGTCATGTGAGGTGTTAATTCATCATTTTAATCTTTAAACTCTCGTAGCTCCTCTATTTTATTACTCTGAAAGAGCCTGTAACTGTCACTGTGCGCCTAATGGTTCCTGTAAAATAAGCAATGAATAGGACGCTCCCAGCAAAGGTTTTATTCACGCTCATTACAGGTAAATCAATTTAAAGTAATATGACTCAATGTAATTTTTCTGATGACTCAATATGGCAAGTTCTTATAAAAGGATTATATGAGGCTCTAATGTCAATGGCTATTAAAATAGCTTTATTCAGTTTCATTGGGAGCTGGTTTATTTAACCACAATTTCCCTTCTCCTTGAGTTAATGGGGTCCACTTTCATTGATTGCAGATCCTTAATAAATGTGAGTAGCTATCTCTTATTTAGTTTCATGTCATTATATACATTGGGAGATGATCCAATAATTTAATAAGATGCACTGAGGTGTTTCAAGGAAAATGCAGATCAGAGAAAGAGAATATCTCAGCCAAGCTTTCATACTCTTTTTTTTTTTAAAAAGACAATCTTCTGTTGTGTTATTTTTTCAATGATATTTGCTGTTTGATCAACAAAAGGACATTTAGTTATCACTTTCTGTATGCGTGGGCTGTAATGCCACATTTGTTATCAGTCTCTCTTACTCTTTCCAGCCTCAGTTGTACTGGACTGATCTAGGTTTCAGCTCTTGGCTGCAATCAGCCCAGTCACCGTGAGCGGTCCGAGTCCCACTGGACACGGCAGAAGTGTTCTAGTGCTCCTGCCAATACACTCCCACCCTGGCCATCTGTGGATGGGCCTTTTCTCCTCCAGCTCCCTGCTTCTTCTTCCTTTTCTCCTCTACTAGGGCCCTGCTCTGTCTGTCAGCGATGTCAGCATAATGACAGCGCGGACAAATAATTTGGAAACTCACTGCGTTTTGCATTTTCTTTCTACAATTTCTAAGCCATGTTCAGGGTGGATAGGGACACGGTTCATATTCATTATTGAATTAAAAATACTATGGCTTAGAGAGTGAATGCCTCAGATTATAGAAGAGAGCTCTCTTGCTGCAGAAGGGGTTGGCTAATTTATTTTTCTTTCTCTACAGGGCTTTTGTTCAATCTCATTAAGATTAAAGTTTATATACAAGAAGGTCAGGCTTTGAATTTTATTGATCCAGGTTTCTTTAACGGTGGGTCAAGACCTTAAAAGAGTGCTGGACTCTATCGTTTGGGTCATCATATCGGATCTGACATGAGTAGTAATATATTTTAATGAGTTCTGGGCCCAGGGTTAGAGCCTATAAATCAAATTTGTTCCTCAGGCTGAATAGAGCGTAAGAATATTTGCTGGTCAAGATTGAGCTGAGCACATATTGCTGTTAAGTAAAAAACTATTGATGCCAATTTAATACATTTCTTAATGTCACTTTAGTTGACGTGTCTCTCTGTTAACTCTAAAACCTTGGAAGACATTTGTGTCACATTTGAAATCCTCTTTTTTTTGTTATTCTCCCTTTGGGCTGTATTTTCAAGTGGATGGCATTAGCTCTTCTGCACATATTCTACACCTCTCTGGGCAGTTCCAACATAAACAAATGGATCTCTTAAGCCAAAGAATAACTAACTTTTACGACTGTATCTCTGTCTTTGCATGTCCTTGTAAAGGGTCGATCAGACAACTGCTGCAGTCCTCACTAAGACAAAGGGAAGGTCCACATCCAGCTAGTTTAACTTTGGTTTCTTAACACTGTTTTTTAAAATACTTATATAGGATTACAAAGCGCTTAATTAGCACTTGTTTTTAGGGCCAAATATAATATAATCTGTATTGTCTGCCTGATGTCCCTAAAGTATTCTACACATACAAAGCTGTGTTCTCTTTAAGGCACCTAAAATCTAGGGAGAGAAAAAAAACTGCCAAAAGAGCTAGAAGCAACATTCAGTTGTTTTGAAACAGGCTTTAAGACTTCTTATTCTTATTCTTGCCATCTTATTCAGATCTTGCACCACATTGCAACTCCACTGTGATTTTTTTATTCAGTCCTTTTAAAATGTCATGTGTTTCTTTTCTTAATTATATTCATGTCTTATGTAAATGATTTTAAACGACCTTGTTGGTGAAAGGTGCAGGACCAGTACATTTACAAGGATTTTTATAAAGATCAGTTTGCAAATTAAAAAGGAAAGTAAAGAGAATAGATGTGAAAGAATGACTTAAAGGGGAAATTATGTGGTTTTTTTTAAGTAACATTTATTTAGAACTATAAAAAAATATTCATGCATATGTGACAGCCAAATTCCCTTCAGCAGGTGCAGTAACAGAATACCTTCAGCACAGTATTTTGCAGCTGTTTTTGAAGGTTTGCTCTCTGACAGAAGCTTCAGTGACTAATCCTCCCCTTTTCAAAGCTACTGGTAATCATGCATTGTGTCTGTCAACTAGGTGTGAGGCAAAGCTCCCATTTCACACCTGAACTGGTGTTCTGCTGTAATGTGACTGTGTAGTGCTGTGTGTATCCTGTGTGCATGCAAAATCTCTCCGAAAAAAAATCAATAAGTGAGCACAAAGAACTGCAAAGAAATAAAAAACCTATGATATAACCTGCAGAATATTGCATGAAAAAAGGGGTTATTTGCAAGGGCCACAGAAAAAGAATGTGTCAGCCAGTCGATGATAGCTGAAGGGATATACAAATCACAAATCACTATAAAGTCCATGCTTAAGCCGAAGTCAGAGCCAAACATTCTTAGCAATTTGTTTCTTGTTTTTGGTTTTTGTTTCATTGTATTCTAGGTGCCTCTAATGCAAAAAGTAAGCCAGTGTGCATTAGTGCGGAACGTCTCTTTATTTTTATCACAGTACTGCATTGAAAGTAAATGTCCTGTTTCCCAGCAGCAGCAGCACATATTCTTCAAAAAAGATTTGTAATCAATGTCTTAATGAAAAAATATGTATTTAACTGAACTTTACTGTGGGACACTCAGGTCTTGGTTTGCCTGTACTGACAGACTCTGCTTCTGTCCTACAGGGGGAGCTCCTGAGCCCATGTCGGTGCTGTGGGTCAGTACGCTGCACCCACCAGCCCTGCCTCATCAAGTGGATCAGCGAGAGAGGATCCTGGGCCTGTGAGCTCTGCTACTACAAATATCAGGTCATCGCCATCAGCACCAAGAACCCACTACAGGTGAGCTCTTGGTATAGGGATCTGCAGTTGAGATATTAAAAAGGAAAGGGGCTTCATGAGTAATAGTGATTTGAAGTCCTTGAAGCTAGGAGGTTACAAGAAAAAGCAGTACTGACATATCTGTTTTTTTTGGACTTTTAGGAGTGTTTTGGCAAATAGGAAAATAGCTCCAGGCCCCTTCCTCTGGGACTCATTTAGAACCATTTTTGGTTTTCAACTAAAATTTAATTTGGCACAAAACTACCAAACAGCATTTTCCAGGATCACACACTGTGAATCGTGTCGTGCACTGATGATGAAGAGAAGAATTCAGCATAAAAGGAATGGTGTTCTTGAATTAAACACGCCTTTTTCTGTCTGATCTGTAGAACAGAAAGATTACAGAAACATATTTTCTCTCAGTTTTAGACATTGGTGACATGATAGGTTCCTTTGTGATTACACATGGATTTTTTGGGGGGAAGTTATCATCAGGCAGCACTGATATATGAAATACTGTCTCCTCTATATACCTGGAGTCAGATGTATCATCACCTAACCTATACGTTATGATGTTAAACAAACCAGATAAAGTAAATCAAGCGTTTTGTATGTATACCTTTTAATTTTGGTGCTTTATTTTTATTGAACAGTTTGGTAATGTGATAATCAGCCTCATTAACTTAGAATATGGATGTTTTAAAAGGTGCTTTTTTGCGATTGATAGTACCCATTGACAAGTTTCTCCTTAAACATTTGTTCTAAGCCTTGTCACACAATGTGTTTTTTTCAACTGTCTTTAAAGTTAAGAGAAATGAAAAGAGCTTACCCAGATGGTGGTCTGTGTCTCCCTGCAGTGGCAAGCCATCTCGCTGACAGTGATCGAAAAAGTTCAGATAGCAGCAGCCATCTTGGGCTCCCTTTTCCTCATGGCAAGTATCTCCTGGCTGGTGTGGTCGTCTTTCAGCCCGTCCGCCCGTTGGCAGCGACAAGATCTGCTCTTCCAGATCTGTTACGGCATGTACGGCTTCATGGATGTCGTCTGTATCGGTGAGGAGCTAGAGTTCACGTTGGTTTAATATGTGTTTAGATGAATATAGAAAAACACAGATATATATCATACATGTATCCAGTCTGGTTATATAAGTGTGGGGTTCATTGTGCATTCAACAAGCAAAACAAATAAAATGCCAAAGGTGTTCAGCAGAATCAATGAGTATACCCACTGGCTGAGCACAAATTATTGTGATTGCCCTGAACTATTGATGATCAATATGACAAATCTATAAACTAAACCAAAACTAATTCATATCCATATTCACTGTGTGGAGTTTTCTCAAGAGACACTGGCTTTAAATTTGTATTGCACAAAACATCTTTTTTAAATTCACTAAACAACAGCAACTAAAATAAAGGTGCGGACATTCTGAAAGCTGTCTTTATCAATAAAGCATGAATTCAATTTACTAGAGTGGTTTCTGTAGCATAGATTAAAGTGTGTTCTCTCTATAATAAAATAACTACAGCACAAAGTTCAGGAGCACATTAAACACCATGGTACACTAAAGGTCCAGTAACTTGAAGAATCCGCTTTAGCCTGCTGTCCTCCTCTGCAGCCCGGGGGGCCGCATGTTTGGAAAGACAGTGTGATGGCATCTGACATTAGAAAAAGTCTAAGTGACACAGCAGCAGACAGGGGGATGAGAGGAAAAGCAGATTGATTGTCTCCGGTTTGGTGGCAATGAATGACTGCCGAGTCATTAACTCTGCTCTTTACAGAGATTAACTTGTCACCTGGCAGACGGTAAAGAGCAAAGCCCCGACTTTCCCTCATGCACAAAGTCGGAGTGGGAGAGAAACAGAGTTGAAAAGGAGAGACCGGATTTTTTCAATGAACTATGTAAATATAGAAGATGGTGGGAATGATTAGATTTCCATATTTAGCAGTCAGCTTCACAATGTCATTTTCACAATATTACAGCTATATGTAAGCTCTTAGATTTAGAGCACAACTTTGTACCTTTACATAAATGAAAGGCATAACCACTTTAAATCCAAAGGCTCTATGTATATGTTGTAGCAGTGAAGATGGTAAGATCATCATCAATATCTAATAGAAAAGAATAGATGAGAAACTATCTCATTGTTACAGGACGTCCCTCTACATGAAAAGGAGTAAAATGTTGGTGTCAGAGCCTCAATTGTCACAGATTGATTTCAATTTTCCAGATACTAAGTTCAATGAAACCAAATCAATAAGCAATTTTAAACTTTGATAAGATGTTATCGAACAACCCCAGGGACTGGATCCATCGTTTAAACCTAAAACAAAAGTGGTGAGTGTTGCTGCGTCATAAGTTTTTCCATGTCTACCATTTTTCAAAGAAATAGAGATCTTATCTTAGGCTTATGGTGCAGTACTTTAAAGATGAGTTGTTTTGTTCTGCTGCTCCCCAAACTATAACTTCCTGCAGGCTTTAACACAGTGAATCTACCACTGCAGAGGCATAAATCACTTTGTTGTGTCATAAAAGTCTGCTGCCAGACACTGACATCGTCTAATTGATGCTCTGATCTCCACAGCACTAATCATCCACGAGGGACCCTCTGTGTTTCGAATCTTCCACCGCTGGCAGGCCGTGAACCAGCAGTGGAAAGTCTTGAACTATGATAAGTCGATGGACAGCGGCGACCTGAAGGACTCCGCTGTTGAAAGAACTGTGTCTCAGCCCAGCCCGGGCTTTCAGACTGGCCTAGGTGTGTCCACCTCCACCTCCTCACTGATGGTGGTCGCCTCTACAGCTGCCGGCTCCACTTCTACAACCATGGTAACCGCAGTACCAGGAGGACTGGGTACACATGTGGACCCAAACAGCGGCAGCACAGTGCCAGACCAACACTGTCCCTACAACATCCTCCACCTCCTCAGTCAGCTGAGGCAGCCGGAGGTCCGCAGCCAACCCAGCAATAGCACAAGAGAGCTGGTCATGAGAGTCACTACAGTCTGAGGAGTCAGTTGAGGCCTTATCTCACACGGAGGTGAAAGTTTTATCAACCAGCTGACAGTTGAAAAAAAAAAAAGTCTTATCTTGACTGCACTGGATTAATACCATGTTTGTTGTTTGTTTCAAAATGCATCTCTGCTGTCCTTACATGGATTGAATAAAAGTCAAAGTTGTTTAATTTGCAGATTGGTTTGAAAATATTTCTGTCTGGTTTTAAAGTTGAAGAACATGTGCAGAAATGTTCCTCCCTGACCTTTAAAAACACTCAACAGTGAAGTTCAAAGGTATGCTTATGAGAGCTTTCAACCACTTCTGAGGAGCCACCTCAGCCAGCTTTATTCAACAACTGAGCATATACTGTTGAAAAGAGTATTTTTGAGCTGTGGTTTCCTTTTTAATATTGACTACTAGAATTTTGAACAGGAGGACATCTGTCTGTATCACATAACAATGATACAAAAATAAGTGTAGAAAGATCTGAGACGATCCTATATTTACCACAGAAACCCTTAGGATTCTTAAATCTGTATCTAAATGCACATTTACATCAAAGAAGAGATCATTTTTGAATATAATGAGATGGATTTTCTTTGTGATGGCATTGTTTTATATCAGCATAGTAGACAATGAGAAATTACATGATCAAACGATGTGCTGCATCTTTTTCTTTATCGATTTGGAAGATGTAGTGCACACTTTGTGGTCTATGAAATGAAGTGATCAAACCTTAAAAACCATAAATAAATCATTTCTGGTAGTTTCCAGGGTAGGGGACCTTTCACAGACAGGTACCATGGAAAGGAACAAACCAGGTTGCACACCTGCTTTAAGTGTTTAAAAAAAACATATGCAGAGATCAAATTTAAGGTGGGAACTTTCCTAAAAGGCGACAGTGGTTCATGAGTGATTCAACATGTACTTACATCACACACACTGACACTGAAATCCTGTTCAAAACTTAGCAGCTTTTCTTTTTCACTGTTGTTAACATTCTTAAAAGTGCATGAGGAAAGTTTACAGAACTCTTAGTGGATGTTTCACAAACTGAAATTATAGATAATTCACTGTGGAGCAAACCCTGCACAGAGAAGTGCCAAAGTTGAATTGTCTCACACAGATTTTCTATTAAAGGAGTCACATCAGAGAGAATATTACAATGTATGAGTTGATGTCAATGACAGGCATAGATATGGCGCAGTAAACAAGAATAGCAAAGTAGTACCTCAAAGCAGGTTTGACGCGCTGCTTTGAGAAGACAAGGTTGTTTCACTTTTTACTTGAACTTTGATGAGCTTTTTGTCCTTCTCAGGTGGCATTTTGTGGTATTGTTTGGGATACAGTTTTATGCCACCTATTCTTAAATTGCACATACATCTTTCATAGTCCATCCCAACAATGGAGAAAAGCATACTACGGACAGTCAGCTAGTTTGCCTTTGTAGCTATCTCTATGCATGTTCCAAAGCCGTCATTTCTCATGCAGTACATATTCATGTTCAGACTCACAAAGCCAGTGATTTCCTCGTCTCTTCGCTGTCAGATTCAGATATTCTCTTTGATATTTTTTTTTACAGCTCTTGTTTCATGTCCATAAAAGATCAATTTTAGCCCAGGGGACACCAGATCTCACATGTTGCGGGAGGGAAGAAACCTCGTTTAAAACATGCTCACAGCAACAAGGAGTTCAGGTTAGCCGTTTTTCTTTCCCCTGAAAGTCAACAAACTGACACTGTGATGCTGTGCAGGGAGACACTTTGCATTTTGATGCTAATATTATCCGTTTCAAGCAGAAAGCCAAAGCTGATCATAGTGTGAAACATTTTTCACAAGCTTTGCCTCGGATGCCTTTGAGCCTTCTCCAACATGCATTACATTAAAACACATCATTAGCTTAAAATACATCTCATATGAATGATCTGCATTAAATTAAGAGAAGCTGGAGCTTAACGTCATGCGGTTTATTTTCCACTCCTGCAGGTTTTTGAAAAGCAGCAGTACACTGTAATGTCGTCCGATAAATCGAACACTTTTCCTACTTACAGCGTGAACAACTTAACAAAGAAGTTGATTGCTTTTTTGAGGGAAAACAAAGTATTCCCCATGTATTCATTCAGAAAAATCTGCTGCTCTCCGTTTAGCCTTTTGTAATCTGTCTAATTTATCTCCACGTGAACTGGTGGTTATGCTATTTTGCAAGTCTGCAAATCCTCATCATAATCAAATGCCAGGAGTACAGTATCTGCAGAGAATCAGGTAGCACTGAGATTTTCTGATGAATTATTTAAGCCATAGAGTGCTGATATCAATGGGTTGGAACTGCTCTATAGAACCAACTTGCAAAGGAGCTCAGAGGTCGCACAGAGTTCACAAATCTGCTCTCCCTCTCCACTGTTCACACCTTGTCTCTTTGAATTCACAGGCGCACACACCTAGCTTTGATAAAGCTGAAAAAAGAGGAAAAGCACAGGAATTTATTTCATGAAAGTTGCTTTCAGGTTTAATATGGAGAACGGTCACCATGCAGTTTAAATATTCAAGTGTACTCTTTTGCACACATGGAACTCATATCTAATTCATGCATAGGAAAAAACATACACCATGTTAAAATTCAGTCTGAAATGTAAATGCTGTACATTTAATCTAAAGGTATGTCTGCTTTTTACCATCGTTTTGAACTGTCACAAATCCCTGCAAAATTACCTTTGGCACCATGTGTCACCGTTTTTAGATGCTAGTCTATTCATCAGATTAAAACCAGGCAAATTTAAATTGAACTTTTTATGTAATTTAGTTTTATGTAAATTAAAAAGGTTTTTAATTTATACATCTATATTTTTTTTCCTTCACTAAGCAACAAATAATTGAGGCACTTTGCAAAGCCTGAAATTGTACAATTTATGCAAGCACCTGATTTCAGGAGGGTTGTCTGTCTCCTGGTCGGAACACGGTATAATAAAACCGTGTTGCTTTCATCTGCAGATAATTGACCCAAAAAGGATTTTTGCAGACTATATAGAACACTGAACCTTTGAAACTGGGTAAATTGCATTGCATACAGCTAATGTGCTATTCAAGCAGGTCATCTAAGGTCTGAATCACACTGGCAGAAAAGCACTGCATTCATTCCCTCCAACTTCTGCTCCGTCTGAAAATGAAAAGGAGTCTTTTGAAGAGTTGAGATGAGGTTTTAGAAGGCTAGAAGCATCGACATCACGACAATGTTTAGACAAATTGCAGGAGAGGCAGCTTTGGAGCTTCGTGACTGGTTCTTACTGAATACTGATACATGCACCCTTTCTCTGCAGTGTAAAAATCTGTTACGTTAGAAATATGAACATTACAAATGTGTTTGCTGAAAATCAATTGATCATGCTCAAAATGCTTCATTTGTATTTCTTAATCTAACTATGTGTTTTTTTTTAACTAAAAAAAGTGCAGTTCAAAAATGTGTTCTCTGCTATCAATATTGGGTAAACACTTAATGTGGCCTAATTAAACATCAGCCCTATGACAAATACATGCATTTCCTGTATTTGTCAGGTCTGACCTACTTTGCATGTTTTTATTATGTCAGTGGACCAGTCCTCAAGAAAAATAAGAAATGAACCAAAGGCTCCCTAAGCAGGACACACGTTATACTATTTGCCAAAAGCTCTTGACAAAGTAGGACAGTATCCGAACACAAGTTCAAGTACTGATAATGCATAATACATTGAGTTCATGATCAGTGCAATGCAGCGAGCAATTTCCAAGTAGTTGAACACTGAAAACTGAATCCTGTGTGCCGCGGCATCTCACACGCTGATACCAATCCTGGAGTAGCTTTCAAACTTATCATCTGCCGACTGAAGTGCTTCAGAGGGGGACTTGAGTTCAGGAGGTTAGTTAAGGTGAATGAAAATGGCTGCAGTCTGCTGCATATACATTTTAGCCGATATGAATGCTAGCTACACAAAACTGAAGGATCCACTATCCATACAAGGACACATTAAAGTTTTATTTGAACTTTTTTTTTTGTTTGGTGAAGTGATTGGTCCACACCTGCTCTTTTTGTTAAGTGTCTTCAGATAACATTTGATATGAATTGGCGCTATACAAATAAAGATTGATTAATTGATTGAGAAATCACATTCTACTCATGTAATTTTAAGGTAGCCAATCTAAGCGTTATCCAACTACTTCATGTTTAAAAATTCAATTAAATTGTTTGGAATTAATAATATACACCACTGCTGTGTGCAGAAGTCAATCAATGCTCTTAGGAGAGCCCCAGATATTTATTTTAAGGATCAAATACATGGAAAAGATTGTAACATATACTTTAAACCCATGTGCTCATTGGCTTTCACCTAAAAATAAAGTTTCAAATTCCTCACACATTTGGGCATTTGTGACTGACTGAGCTCTTTGCCTTTACATGTCAGAACTCTCTCTTCACTGAGTTGGCCTCATGATAGAAATATATGAAATCTTAAACTGATACAGGCAGGGATTATATTATTATTATTATTATTATTATTATTCGTTACATATCATAGAGATATGAACAATACAGCTGGTAAGTGGTGTGAGATTGCTGGTGTTAAATATCAATATTACTATCAAGAGATTTCTTTAAGGTTTATTTTTATTGAGTACCTACAAATGCATGGGCAAGAATGTGGTTTAGACTTTTAGTTCCTAGCTTGTGCATTTGAAGGTATACTATTTTTCTACTATGGACGTCATAAGTAAAACTTTCTCACACATCTAATGAAACAAAAGTCATACAACAGCTCAGGTTTCATGGGCTTTTTAAGGTCTCTTAACATGGCTTTAACATCTTTTAGCCTAACGTACACAGCTTTTAAAAACAATTCACCCTCTCTATTCTCTTTGAATATTTTGATTTGTTTAGACTACATTCATAGTATAAAGAGTAACACATGTTACACATCTAAATGAAACATCGGTGCTGTGCTTTGGTCAAAATATAACATGAATCAAGCACCAGAGGAGGTTTGTGACCCTGTATAAACCAGCTCTCTCAGAACGCTCGGTTTTGGTGTGTGTGTCTCTTTAAATGTAATGAGCAATGACCACTGTAAAAGTGGATTTTTCATAATATGACCCCTTTAAGAATTTAAATATACTTTAAAAGAATAGAACAATTTTGTGTATTTTACCGTAACAGTGAACGATTTACCATCACCCCCCTTTTTCAGAGTTCACTCTGGCTGTGAAGACTTATTATTTGGGTAAGAAAATCCGAAAAAGAAACATCTGGGCAATTTAGAAGTTCCTGTTCAACTGATCTGCACGTTTGAAGGCTGTGGGGAAAAACCTCCAAACGTATCACACAGGAAAATGACTTCCAGACAACAAGTCTAGAGTTCAGATTCATATCCAAGACTTCTTGCTATGTAACATGAAAGACAGCGAACCTCTATCAGCCTCTGCCATTCAGACACTTCAGTGTGAATGCAACCATTACTTTAAATAGTTATTTTATCTGGAAACTTCAGTCATGTGGAAATACACTACAAGAGAGGCGCTGATTGAAAAGATGAAAGACATTCTGTTCTTTGTCACAAATGGATATCAGTAATACAAATAATTCTCACCAACATGCTTTGTAGCTTCTATTCTCCCCCTGGTGGCACAATGATATATTGTTATTAAGGGTTAAAAAATGGTTTCTCAGAGTGTTATGAGCTTGATATTTGCACCAAAACAACAACATTTGTTTAATGTGTAGCAGACCTGGGTCGCTCCTTGTGTACACTCTGACTTACTGGGCTTGAGGTCTATAATCTCTGTACATTTTACAGAATACTCTTGGAGATTGTATTTGACATGAAAGCATGATGCTGCTCATTTCAGGCATCACCTTCAACTTAAAATGATGCAGCAAAATAAACACATGTTGATGAACTGCATGTGAAAATGTGTAGTCAGTTTAGCTTTAAAATAAACAGTTTTCACTATGTGGAATATTTATACTGATAATTTCATCACTCTAGGATTTCTGTTAATTCAAAATAAATGCAAGGAAAGACATGAAGAAAAGACAATAGACATAACCTCAGACTAACTGCCAAATCTATAAGTCTACTTAACTGCCTGACCTTCAAATCATAAATTCTTAGTTACATTTTTATACAACAGTGATGGTAATCAAACATTATAATTATTATTATTATTACTAGACTTGCAAAGATTATAATTCTGATAATATGTAAGTAAGTGAAGTATTTTAAATTGAAGTCAGAGGGGAAATTGTTTGAAAATACTTCACTTTAAAGCAGTTGTATCTACAATGATATTATGAAATATGCTGCTATGTAAAGCTGCAGTAAACAAAAAGAGAGATGCGGTTAAGGTAAAAGAGAATAAGCTCTCAGTCTTAAAGTCTAGAGCACCTCAGTAATAAAAAACAACAGGAACCATAATCAAGGCTATTTAACCATTGATGAAACATAGACCCTGATTACACTAATAATAAAGGAGGCAATGTTGCTTTTACTTGTAAGTACCTCTGCACCACTGTTCATAACAGGACCTCTCTTACTCAATATTTCAAATATAATCTGCAAAGAAAAAAACTAATTAACTAATTCTGTGTTTTATAATGCATTAATGCATATCTAAACAGTAAACAGTATGATAAATGTACTTATATGTAAGATGTATGAACACCCTGGTTTGTGAGGTCACTAGTGTTTCTCGCTCCTCTCCTCATGTTGTGCACAGCTACTCCACCTGTGAATGTTAATCTTGATGCAGTAGGCATTTAAAAAGAGCTGTTGCCCAGGAGAAACAATCTCAGATCGCCTGCCTCCCTCTTAATCGCTCACTTGCTCACTCAGCATCTCTTCAGAAATGCACCCCCAACCCTGCCACACACACACACACACACACACACACACACACACACACACACACACACACGCACACACAGCATCCTCACACTTGGGTGCTCTGCAAACAGCAGCAGCACTATGTGAGCAGGTCAATAGGCGTATCATTGCATTTCTCTAATTGAGCCCCTGATGAGGAACTTCCTGAGCTCCCTGCCTTTGAATGTCGATAAACAGACAGCCTTGCACACTAATGCATTCCTGCTGCTTGTCACACAATGTCAGGGAACAGTTTGTTGCCTGATTAAAATACACCTCTCAAACTAAGGCATATGCAGACATGTCTATCCCTAAAAAGTGCAGGATTCCTGTATTAACCTTTTTTTGTTTGCACTGTATATTTAACAACATAGGTTAACAGTATCTGAACAATGGGCCTGCTTTCACCTTCTTTTTACGTGTATCAGTGAACATATATTCAAAGGTTTTGTTTTTTCTTTCTCGCTATTACCTCTAGAATTAAGGAAAATATTTTAGTGGTAATAGATCTGGTTTTCCAAGTAGCTTCCTCCCAAAGTAAAGTGTGTGACTGAGAAACCAGATTAACCCTGTTTGTTTATGTGAGGGTTCATCTTTTCTCATCTAGCCTGCACTATCCTTATATGCCTTCCTTTCCAAGTGCAGCTATACCTCAGTCCCCGTATTTTACAGTATATATGAATATTTTCATTGATAGGGTTTTGTTGAAGCATTCATGTACTGATGGGAATATCCAGTGCCATCAGTTGGAAAATAAGTAATTGATATTTCCTTGTCCTTAGCTAAGCACTGTAACTAAGAATGTTTTTTGTGTTTTATTATTTTTGTATTAAATGACTGAGAGTGGAAAACGTACACTTTACTGAATACAGTATATACACAGCATGGTCTGTAAAGTGCATAGCATAACATTTTCACCACATCTTATCTGTACTTGCTTTTAAATACTAAAGTGTAATGAAGCATAGTTTCAATCATCAGATACACAGAGTGACCTTGTCACAGTCACCACAGAGGGGACACATCTCTGCCCTTGATTTATGTAAAAAGAAAATGAATAAAATCATGAAGGCATAAAAAGATAGGCAGGTCATCAGTAATCATCTGTACAGCATCCAAGAAAAAGTGTCCTTCAAAAGACAATGAGAAATTGATTTAACATCTTATCTCATGATGCAGTGTCTGTAGTGTCATTAAATGCAGAGCACCATGTCTGTTTTTTTTATTGATATCATGTTGATATGATTAACTCAACCTTAACTGTGTAATTACATAAAGGTTTAAATTAAAGCATCCATATTTTACAGGATATTTAGCAAGCCTCCTCTTGAATCCCAGATTGAAAATAGTTGAACTTTGATTTAAAGATTTTTTAAAAAGTTTTGGCGTTCTAGCTTTGTGTATGTAGAACGTTTCAAGGATGTGAAGAAGAACACTGCCAGCAAGTTTACATGTTAACAATGTAGGGTTGTTACATGTCAAAGATATACCCAATGTTTCAGGGTGAGTAACACTGGATTTAAACAGGAACAGTGTTTATACTGCTCTGGGCATCTTTAAGTAAATCAATAATTAAGTTACTGTTCTGCAACCATCATATCATAAAGTATAGTAAAGAGGTATTTAAATAAATGTTACTGATGATGTATCAATGTGTTAGTGACATTTTACTCTTTCAGCTTGCTATGGTTATGTTGTTTTTGATCAAGTACCATACTTTGAGAGGTCCTCTTTATTTTTCATGCATACAGTCTTAATCTTAACTAATTAAACAATTAATCTTAACTTAATTATTCTAACTGTAAAAGCAGTTAAGGTGCATTGACTGAATCATTTCACTAAAAACTTCACTTAGGCAGGCTAAATAACCATGAAAAAATTACACTTTGTTTGTATAGTACAGAAGAGGATTAGGGCCACTGAAAACAAATATTTTGGTTCTGCCTTTTCTTTTAGGATTCTGACTTTAATCTCAGAATTCTGAGAAATAAAAGTCAGAATTATTTTTTCTCAGAATTCTGGCTCCGACAGAAAAAAGTCAGAATTATGAGAAAACATATTTCTTTGTTATGAGGAACAAAATAATTTATTTTCAGTGGCCCTAATCCTCTTCCGTATATGTGCCCATATTGCCACCTCTAAAGTCCAGTAAATTGTTGTATTTTCAATGGCATTTGATTGAGTTTGATTTCAATTACATTAAAAGTGGTTTGAAACATCCTGGAAAATGTGAGATTAATTAAACATTTCATATAGACTGTGGACATCATTTATATTAGACATTTGGTCATTTTTGGAGAGTTGCTGCAGTCAAATTCCTATATGACATCTCTCACGCTTAACGGTCTGTGAGTGTGTGCAGCTCTCTCCATGTAAGGATATGCAGCAGTGGAGTCCAAGTGTTTGTAACACTGAGCTTTGAGAGAATAAGTCACTGACACTCACATTTATTCTGCCAAATCGAGCAGATAAATAGACTACTGCAGCGCGTTCTGTTTAATTAAAACTACTCCATTTTCTGGAATAATGTCTGTGGTTTTGTGACTGCGACATCTCGTTTGACTCCTGCAGACAATCTGTTGACTGAAATGATCTATTTCTTATTTATTTTTAAGACAACTCTTTTAACCGCTTATAACAATTATTTATGACCTATTTATCATGTTTTTAATAGAGCCACTTGTATGTGTGTGTTTCTGCTGTTGTTTTTTTTGTGTCTAGCTGTATGCGCACTGATGCTGTTTTACACAAATGAAGTTCCTAACGGATAAATAAAGTTATTTGAATTGACTTCCAAATGAAAGTGACAGTAGGCCTACGCGTGAGTCGCTGCGCGTGCGTCCCGGAGGCGCTCGTGCGTCAGTGCAGTATAAAACGGGCGGCTCCTCGTGCAGAAACTGACCCCGACTCTCTCTGTTGATATGGCAACTTCCCGATTGAGATGATTATCTCCTGAGTTTCCTGACAGCCTCAAGTCGCTGTTTGGGTTTTTACTGTCTACGTGCAGTCGTTGTGAGGTGAGTCACTTTTTATTTGAACTTTAGAAAGTTTTCCTGCATTAGAAAATTGCTTAAAAATGCTGTTTATCTGGTCGGCAAAAGACTTTCTGACAGGATACGTTTCTCAAATGAGTCTTCAGGTTTTTTCTGCACTTTACTGGTCAAATTTTTTTTGGGAGAGAAATTGTTAAATTTGGGAAAGTTATATTAATAAATGTTTGCACCTTGTTCCATCAAAATATTAGCTGTAATAAAAGTACAAATTTCTTAGCAGTAAAATTTAACCTACTTTTCACACAGAATGGCCGTCTTCAGAGTTTTATGATGTTATTGAAGAACTGGACCACAACGAATCAATTGTATACCCTATATATGCCACGTTATAATGTTGTAGGTAGTGGACTTTTGCCTGTTGTATAGCAATGCATTTTTATCGTAAAAAATGTAAATTATTAATTTGTAAAGTGAAGTTGGTAACTTTACATGTTTTTGAACAGAGGCAGTTGAGTGAAAACAATAGGTTTAAATTATGGGATGAAGAAGATTAAAGTAAACACTAAACAAACTGAACTTAGCACACATGTCTACTATTGTATTCTTTTGCTTTATCTACTTCATTGTCTTCTTTATGTTTCTGAACAGGATCTGTAGGCTTTATTTTATTTTGTTAGTCATTGATGTTGCATTATGGAGCTTTATTCTTTTAGAAAAAGTTTTCCCTAGCTATAGCACATTTTTGTTTAATCACTTAGCACCAAATAGTAATTCATCTTTGGAGGGGATTTCATCGCACAAACCCTAACATGGTCCTCTGATGTCTTTATTATGTTTAATCACTCTTGACATGAAATATTTCAGAAAGCCTCGCTGTGGATTTTAATGTCACTAAACGAGACATGTAACATCTCTAACATCTTTCCACCTACATCTGAAATATTCTCCTCTTTCCCCATACAGTCTGGTTATTCACTGACATTGTTTAAAACACAGATAAACATTCCTGAGCTCTGCGGAGATGCCTGCTGTGAAGACTCACTTTGTGTGACAGCTACTTCCTGCATTAAAAAGCAGTGTTGGAGTAAAAAGTAAGCCTTCAAAAATGACCTCACTCACCTCTTGTTGTGTTGTTTTTTTTTTTTGCAGGATAGAATGGCGATGATTTCAGGGTTCATCTTTCTATGCATGCTCCAAGCAGTAACCCTTCAAGATCTGACACCTCGTGGACCCCGGCCGTTCCCTGGACGGGGTGACAGCCCAGGACCGACTCAGCCGCCTCTCCCACCTACAGGTTGTCTGAGTGAGTGTCAGAGAGTTATTGTCAGACGATAATACTAACTTTATAGCATGAATGATTGTAAACAAGGTGTTTCAGAGTACCAAAGTGAAAATGTTACAACAGTTTGCATGTATAATTCTCAATATGCAACGCTTAAAAGATTTATTTTTGGGGGCTTTTTGCCTTTATTCGATAGGCCAGTGGATAGAGTAGGAAACTGGGTAGAGAGGATGGGGAATGACATGCGGGAAAGGAGCCACAGGTCAGACTCAATCCCGGGCTGCCCACATGGAGGACTATAGCCCCCTTGCACGGGACGCAACCTAACCGCTAGGCCATCTTTGCCCTGAAACTAACACTTTAAAACTAGAATACTTCCATCTGATGTTGAAAAATAACAATAGTACTCTACTGCAAAGTACCTCTGAATTATACAGAAGTACAGCATATGAGTGAAACATAGCAGAGTGGGAAAGTTGTTGACCTTTTTGTCCTTGTCATCTCCTCTAGCTCGTATCGTGGACTGTCCGGTAAAAGTGTTTTTCACCATCGACACCTCGGAGACCATCGCCTTACAGGAGTCCCCACCAGGGGCGCTGGTGAAAAAACTCAAGGAGTTCACCAAGATCTTTGCCCAGAAGTTGGCTGATGAGGAGTACAAGGGCCAGATCAGGATCACATGGTCAGTAGGAGGCCAGAACTTCTCCCAGGATCAGTGGGTCTTCAGCCAGTTCACAAATAAAGAGAACTTCATCAGGAACCTCGCCGGGGTCGATTACCAGGGCAAAGGCACCTACACCGACTGTGCCATCAAAAATATGATCAAACAGTTTACTCAGTACAGCTCAGGGACCGACGACGTCCTCTTCTCAGTGTTCATCACGGATGGACATGTGACAAGAAATCCATGTGGGGGGATAAAGGCAATGGCAGACAAGGCTCGAGAAGAAGGAATCCATACTTTCTCAGTGGCGGCGTCCAAGATTATCGATGAAGTAGGGATGAAGGAGATAGCCAGCTCTCCGGTTGAAGTGTTCCATGATGACTACATAGCTGTGGATATTGTTGAAGGAAAATCGAGGATAATGATCGAATCCATTGATCGTATCATAAAAACCATGGTGATCTAAAATCTTTTTTCCTGTCTTGTCTTGTATTTCATACTTAAATTCAGATTTTGAATACATGCCACTGTAAAGCTCTTTTCGCCGACTTTTGTTTTGTTTTCTCTGCAGAAATATCAAGCCTATTTAAAAGTAAGAAAGACGATACAACCATTTTTGTATGTCATAAAGTATACTAATATTTAAATCAAATCTCTTATTTACATTTAACATTATATTCTTGTAGTGTTACAAGCCTAAATGCTTTGAGTCTCCTGGGATCCCTGGACCAGAAGGGTCTCGAGGTCCAAAAGTGAGTACTGACAACAACAACAAAACATTTCTTGTCAATGTCTACTTCAACTTTTACAGAAGATTGTCTTGTTTACATGTCAATATTTCTTCCTATTTTTTAGGGTCTAAAAGGAGGCACAGGACAAACGGGGCCAAAAGGTCAAAGGGGGAATCAGGTATGATGATATAAGCATTATTATTACTCCTTAAATTCTGTACACTTTTCATTTTAATGCTAAAACAAATCTGAAATTGCAGGGGGATCCTGGCATTGAAGGTCCAATCGGACAACCCGGTCCCAAGGTTTGCTGAAGCCCACTGATTGTGTTTGCGACATACAAGAATTGTCATTTTTGACTCAAATTCCTCTCTCTAATAAATGTCCTTCTTGTTGCCATACAGGGTATGATTGGTTTGAAAGGTGACAAGGTGAGGGATACAACTTTAAATATCTTCCAATCCCCCAGCTGTCCAATCGAATAAAATGCTTTTGGGACTAATGGCTCTGTTGTTCTTTAACAGGGTGAAATAGGAGCAGATGGAGCAAAGGTAACTTATTTTTCTTTTCATAATTCATCTTATTTTGTTCCTGTTTGCATACTGATGTTAAATTTCTGTCTGTGTATTAATGTCCTCACTTTCAGGGAGTGGTAGGAGTACCTGGCATGAATGGAACTAATGGTAGAAAGGTGAGTCTTCATTGGACAAGGACAAAAAGACCAGTTTACCATGACTGTGATATGTTCTGCACACTGACATGAAATCATCATCTTTAGGGTCATATGGGCCGAATTGGAGCTCCTGGTTGCAAAGGTGATCCAGGTGACAAGGTATGTGTAGTTGTTTTTTATAAAAAAAAATATGTATAGGAGATGAGGACCATAATGCAAAATAGCTATAATCTCCAAATATTTAATGTGGAAATGTTTGGCTATGGTGACAAAGTTTAACTAATTAATAATTTATTGTTCCAATTTTGTTATAGACATCTTTTTTTTATATATTTATTAGATTAAGTAACACATTTATATCTTCTAATCTATCAGCTTTATCGCTGAAACTTTTAGTATACTGGTTTACTGAACCGTATAATCGTTTTTGTTTTTGTCTCTAAAAGGGACCAGATGGTTTCCCTGGAGATGTTGGTGACACTGGGCCTCCTGGGGACAACGGACAGAAGGTCTGTATTAAAAACTCAACACATTTCTCTCCCTCCTTACCTCCAGGGGGAAATTAATGTCAGAAGCGTATTTCTGACAGTATTCACAGAAATCCATTTAAAGTTGTTTTAACATTTCATTTAAACCCTAACGTTAAACTAGCTGGTAGTGTTTCAGAAAAAGTTAGACAGTCATCAAAGTCATGTCTTGGATAATGTATAGAGAGCAGGTTGTTTTAGTGGAATGGAACACAGAGAGGGAGCAGGACCCCACACAAAGTGTGTGTATGTGTGTGGGATTTTGTCGTGCTCGATATACTGTACATTATACTGTATTACTTATACATTAAATTATAATCTTTTATTTAAATATATTTCATAGCTTTACAAACAGTTTGTTAGAATCTACAGGTAGAGCTGCGTCCAGTCTTTTGACATTTTCTTTTCCTTTCATGAGTCTTTCAGACACTTCTGGGTCCCATACCCTTTCGGTTCCACACTTACTTTTTTGGCCAACTATCTATTTATAGATGGGTAGATTTCTCTGTCATAACATTTTTTCCCTCTTTTCACAACTGTTTTCATTTCCCATAAACAGACAAGACATCAAAATTAACTGGATTTATTTCTGTGGATTGATATGATTACAGTTAACTCTGAGATTAGAGCTGTGTCCCTAGCAGCCGCCCGCTTTTCATATTGACGGTTCTTTCTTCTGAACAATGATGTGCTATTGAGGGATAGAAAACCGTTGCTACGCGCAACTGGCAAATCAGAAATTTTACCGTTCACAGTAGCCATTTATTAGATTCATGTATCCTCTGGTGACCACGGATGTTTGTGTGAAGAATTGGCCCAACGGTGGAGGGAGAAGGCCTGATTAGTCTCCATCTGTATGTTTACTTGTACTTAACAGCACACAAACAAGCAGTTCCAGCTGGTTTGGGAAAATATCTTTTGCCTAATCCATCAGGTTCAAGCTGAAATTTATACCAAACTAAAGTCTAAGCACAAACTCTCTCTAAGGATCTTTTAAGCCTTCGAACAGGAAGCCTCTAGACAAATTGGAGTAAGTTTAATACCACCACATCAGAAATGTTATGATGTTAGCTCCCTGGATTCACAAGTCCTTGCTATGCTAATATATTTTAGCCAAAAAAGCTAGACCCCTTAGCATAGCAAAGATAAAATACTTGCCTTCTTGCAAGGCATGCCATAGCATCTCAAGTAGTCTAAACAGTTTGGATAATCTCTCCAAATAAACAGTAAAACTGCAATTAGTCATGCAAGGGCTAAAGAGATGACTCATAGATAATGGCATGTTTGTCGGTGTTTAACTGCAACACTTTTGTCCGGTTTTAAAATACCTACGACCAATAGATGTACATTCTGATGAAATGTGTTTACGTTCTTTTCATCTTGTTTCCCACAGGTCTGGTTCCTGATGAGATAGGAAAAACTTTGTATTATTTTTTGTGTCCTGTACACTTGTAGATGTTTAAATGTTCATTAGTGATGTCATCAGTCATGTATGTTTGTTTTTTATTTGTTCAGGGTGATGCAGGTTTCCCTGGAAAGTCAGGTCCACCTGGTGCTAGGGGGGACATAGGACCAAAGGTAGAAAACATGACAGAAAACTCATCAGAAAGATGAACATGATTCTTCAGTGAAAAAAAACAAAATAACACATCTCTGTTCCTCAGGGTGAAAGAGGAAATCCTGGAAATCCAGGGCCACCGGGAAAAAAGGGAGAAGTGGTACTGAGAAATATTATTTCATTATAATTATCTCTGTAGTGTACTACTGTAAGTTAATATTTCTACACTGACCCTGAAATTAAACTATTACTTTTTGTAGGGGATTCCTGGAACTATTGGACCAAATGGCGAAACGGTATATAAAGCTGTTTTTTAAGAAAATGAAATAATAATTTGGAGAATTTGCTGTCAAATGTAATAAGTATGAAATGAATATTAACAGGGAAGGAGAGGAGACGAAGGGAAGAAGGGAGCCCAAGGTCCTGACGGGATAAAAGGAGAGAGGGTAAGTTCAGCTCTCAGAGAAAGTTGTATGTTAAATTCATCAAGTACTCATTAATAATTTGAGTTTGTATACTGTCCCCACACAAGCAACAGCCATGGTCATAATAATAATATTAATATCTTCTGATGAGCCATACTTCCACCACTTTCTCTTAAACTTATCAATTTGGTGGCCAATGATGAATATCATAATGATGAAGACCATTATGATGAAGATCATAATGATGAAGAACATTATGATAAAGACCATTATGATGAAGACCATAATGATGAAGAACATTATGATAAAGACCATTATGATGAAGACCATTATGATGAAGAACATTATGATGAAGACCATTATGATGAAGAACATTATGATAAAGACCATTATGATGAAGAACATTATGACCTCTTAAAACTCATTTTCGCTCATTTCTATACTGATTAGAGCTCTCAAGAACTGCCGTCAATGTTGTGCTTTGCCTCTGGTCACTTCCTGTCAGCACCTGTGTGTCCAATCAGACTCAAAGCTGATCGTTTGCTCTTACTGACATTGTTCCCTTTTTTCTAGATCCTTGCTTGTGTTGTTCTTACTCTCTGATGTACGTCGCTTTGGATAAAAGCGTCTGCTGAGTGAATTGTAGAATCATACAGTACTGCATAAAACACACCTGGTGTCATTGAACACAGGAAGACATGGGGAGATTGTGACCACATTTCACATTTGGACAAACAATCAATCGCTCGCACAAATCTTGGCTGGCCACCTTTGAAATGGAAATATTCTGCTGCCGGGGTTTAGGAATTTGAAAAGACAGACAAGTCCAAGGAAAGGAAAGCAAATGTTAGTAGTTGGCGGTTGCATACCATCTTGTATTTTAGTTAGCTTTGCTACTGTAGCAGGTTTGTAGCATTGAGAGCAGTTTCATGTTAAAAACACTGGAAAAGTTGTTGAACACAATACTACAGACCTTCATCTGAAACATGACTAAATGTTTTTTTTTTTAAAGAAACATGCTCAGAGGAACATATGGGAAAGAGATTTGGCATTTGATATCTAAAAGAGACAAATATGTTGTTGAGAAAAAAACACCAACAAAGCAGACTGGATTCCTAACAACCTGAAAGAGACCAGCCTCATGGGTTTCAAACCCCTCTCTGGGGTTTTTGTTCTAACAGAGAAAGATTGTAAACACTTCCTTGCCCAGTATAATTACTGTCTGAGTTGCTATGGAACATTACTTTAAATGATTCTGAGGAAAATCCTTCAGATAACTCTTTGTTTCCTGTTGGTGTTTGTATAAATCTATTTGTGATTAATGGTGCAGTGCAGCTTCTGACACTTTCATCTATTTTTCCAGGGAGAACGAGGATCACATGGAGGCAGAGGTCGGTCTGGTGAGGACGGACTCAAGGGTGCAAAGGTGAGGGGGTCAAGCAGTGAGCAGATTTTGGCAAAAAAAAAAAAAAACTCAGCCATTTTTCCAAGGAAAAATAATAACGCAAGTTTTGTCTTTATGTTGCGAGTGTCCTGCCAAAACAAACAAAAACGTTGTTCCCTCTTTTACAAATCCACACTTTTTAAAAGTGTATCAGAACTATGCTTGGCTAGATTTTTATCTGCATTAGTAAGTTTGAGTATGTCGGTGATGTTTCATTCAATCTCTTATAGGGAGACCAAGGACTGCCTGGACCGAGGGGTCATTCAGGAGAAACAGGGGGCCCAGGAGAAATTGTGTGTACTTTATAACATCATAATCAGCGACACTAAGTGCTCATTGTCACAGCTGTGTTTTAAGTGGATTGGTAAGAAAATTATTTCTGTAAATTACAGAGCATTTACAGTGTCTTCTGTGGTTCAAGGGCACTGTGGGAGATCCTGGAGACCCTGGACCAAGGGGAGACTCTGGAGTCCCGGGACCAAAGGTGTGCCAAACCTTTCTGTCACTTTAAAATGTAAAATAATGCTATATATATATATATATATATATATATATATATATTTTTTTTTGGATATATATTTGGATATTGATGATTTTTTTCCTTCTAAAGGGTGACAAAGGAAGACAAGGATTTAGCTATCCTGGAGCGAGAGGAGCCACTGTAAGGTTATCCCATTGACCTCATGAAATTCATATTTGTTTTAAAGTCTACTGAATTCTGAAACCGCTCTTAATTTTTCAGGGAGACAGAGGCAATCCAGGAAGAGCAGGACCTAGGGGGGGCAGAGGTGACTGTGGTGCCAAAGGACAACCTGGAGATAAAGGATCTCTAGGACAACCTGTAAGATTCATCACACAAGTTTCCAAATAGTTTTCATTCTATTAGGCAGGTTTTTCTTTTCCATGTCTTGAGATTTTTTCCCCTCCACTGTATTTAAACTGACTGGAGCTCGGTGCCTGCAGCATTAAGTAATTGCTTTTGACAAGCTCAGAAAGCTCACGAGTAACGTCTCTTTCCAAAAGCATCCAAAGAAAACTCTTCATGAGCAGTTCTGCGGATTTTTCTTCAGCATCAGGACATTGCTTCTGGAAGCAGGTGTTAAAGTTTAGAGCTCCCAGAATTCCTCTGGGACTTCCAAACAATAGGACTTCCAAAGAGTTCCAAAGAGTAATATTATTCAGAGAAGAGTCATTTCTCCTGAATTTTCTTTTTTTTGTTGCACAGGGGGAACCAGGTCAGCTAGGTCAGCCAGGAGACAGGGGACCCAGAGGCGACCCTGGACCTGATGTAAGCAACAGCGAAACCACTCAAATAATTGTTTGACCATGCATGCAAATTTAAGCTCTAACTGGTTTCTTCTTGTATGTGTGTGTGTGTATGTGTATGTGTATGTGTATGTGTATATGTGTGTGTGTGTGTGTGTGAAGGGAGGCCCAGGTCCAGAGGGGGATCCTGGCCTCACTGTGAGTAATATTTTAAAAAACATTACATTTTAAAGGTCACTGTTCTTTATATGTCCTTGTTTGTATTACGTCTAATCTGCATCCTGTCACTGCAGGACTGTGATGTCATGACTTATATCAGGGAGACGTGCGGTTGTTGTGGTAAACACATATTGCACAAAAACAGATTTAATATCTAGTCTCTTCTACATACTGATCCTTTACTTTTTCCTTTTCTCAGACTGTGAGAAGCGCTGTGGACCTCTGGACATTGTATTTGTAATCGATAGCTCAGAAAGTGTTGGGCTGACAAACTTCACTTTGGAGAAGAACTTTGTTATCAACACCATCAACAGGCTGGGGTCTATGGCCAGTGACCCTGCATCTGTTACCGGTACAGTCGAGCAAAAACAAACCACAACACAGATGTACAGTACCTACAAACGCTTTAGCAGACAGTTTCAAATGACAAGAAGTAGAGGCTGCCATAAGGATGAACAATTTCCAATGAGTGAATCACATAATCCAGCACTAAATACAGAATAGAGTCACCACCAAAAAACATTTGGACTGGACCACATGGCAGCGCACTCTTCCTTAAACCTGTGACTGCTGCAGTGACGGCAGATTGTCCACGTTGTGTATTTTCAGCCTTTAAATGTTTTTACCAGTAAATAGTCTGAATGAGTAAGTAACTGTAACTAATGATGATTTACTTTCAGAGTGATGTGAGCATCAATACACCAGATTTACTCTAAAAACATATGCAGGCAAGATTTCTTTGGATAAAATGATCATTCACAAAAAGAAACATTGACTCACTTTAGACTATCAATAAACGAGTGCCTCAGACTTTCAGATTAGACTGCCTTTCTTCACAATTAACTTTCTAATCAAGACAGTCATTTATTTAGAAGCTACTTGTGTCCCCCTGTTTCTTGAAGAGAACCTGATTCTTCAAATTGTTTTGACCCAGTGCAGTATTAGCTTCAACCTTCTTTCCATTGATTCACTTTGTTTTTAGTCAACTTCATATGAAGCACCACTTGTGTATGTTTAAGTAACTTAAAATAGTCCTCAACAAATGCACATCTGTTTCAGAAGTATTTGCTTTATAAAAGTAAAAATATCAATCTGTGACCTACAGTATTTTTAAGCAAGTACTGAGAGCAGGACTAGCATGATTGGTTCTGGTCTTAGAGCCTATCCTTACAACCTGATTTATATTTTTGAAATGCACGACCTGACCTGTTTGCCTCTTCTAGGTACAAGAGTCGGAGTTGTCCAATTCAGTCACAACGGGACTTTTGAAGCCATCCGTCTCGATGACCCAATGATAAACTCCATGTCTGCCTTCAAAGCGGCTGTGAAGAATCTCCAGTGGATTGCTGGAGGCACCTTCACGCCCTCAGCTCTGAAGTACGCTTATGATCACCTCATCAGGGACAGCAAGAGAGCCCAGGCAAAAGTGTCCGTGGTGGTGATCACAGACGGTCGCTTTGACCCCCACGACGATGAAGATCTGCTCAAATACCTTTGCAACGACGACCGGGTGGTGGTGAACGCTATCGGGGTTGGCGACATGTTTCAAAGACAGCAGGATGATGAGATCCTGGGGTCGATAGCTTGTGACAGAAAGGAACGTGTTGCTCAGATGAACCACTACATCGACCTGGTGGCTGAGGACTTCATAGAACAGATGGAGACAGTGCTGTGTCCTGGTAAGTCTGCACACACACATCAGTGATAAACATGGTTCTTCTGAACTTAAATCTCACCGATGTTCTTTTGAATTCCCGTTTAGATCCGGAGATTAAGTGTCCTGATCTGCCCTGCAAGAATGGTAGGTGTTTTTTCATACCTAGATTGCTATAATTGATCGCAGCTCAGCCAATCATTCGTGTCTTTCACAGAACCTGATGTTGCTCCATGCGTCCAGAGGCCGGTAGATTTGGTATTCCTGCTTGATGGCTCAGAACGCCTCGGGATTGAGAACTTCCGGTACGTCCGCGAATTTCTGATGGAGGTGGCAGACCGGCTTGTAATGGCACAAAACAAGACGGACCGTATGCGAGCTCGCTTGGCACTCACCGAGTTTGGCAAGGAGAACGAGAACCATGTAGCCTTCCAACTCACTCATGACCCCGCTCTCATTGCAGCAGGCATAGCCCGCCTGCCTTATTTGGATTCCTCCTCAAGCGTGGGGCCCGCCATCTTACACGCCATCGACAACATCCTGAGTAAAGGAACGACTCGGCAGACCAGACGGAACGCGGAGGTTTCATTCATTTTCATCACAGATGGCATCACGGACAGCAAGAACCTGGAGGAGGCGGTCAGTGCCATGCGTGGTGCACAGGTTGTCTCCACGGTGATGGCCACAGGAAGTGATGTTGACCATCAAGTCCTAGCGAAGCTGGCTATGGGCGACAAAGACGCCATCTTTATGGTCAAAGACTTCTCACGTCTAACCCGGTCCAGTTTGTTTGAGCGTTTCATCCGGTGGGTATGTTAATCAAAGACAACATGGATGCAAACATCATACTGGTGCTACACTGTACAATCTGCTAATTAATCCACTGCACTGCTTTACTGCACTTATCAGGAAAACTGTATTCATCCTCAGTATTTTGATATACAACAGGACACGTCCAACATGTTTAATCAACCATTGAGCTTTACTGATTTTAATAAACTTGTTGGGACACTGAAGCGCTGTTTGCCTTTCAAGTCAGAAAAATGCGCATCCATCATAAGATTTAAATGACTTCTTGTATTAAGACATGACATTAATAAAAAAATAAAGAAATGTGACATTTAAAATTAAACACCTACAAAGCCCCAAACATACAGTTCTTATGATACTTTTTTGTAAAGACTCTGGTGTAAACATTAGTTGAGTCTAGCTTTCCTCTGCGCAGTTAAATGTAGTTACAGAGTATCAGGGGTCTCTATGTGGGAAGCAGAACAATGGACGGCTGATTGGCTTTGGACTGGCCTGGCTGAATGATTGCATTCTTCTCATTTCTTTTGCGTGTCCACTGCAAACTCTCCCATTGCCTCCCGTCTTACATCATGTCCAGCTGCACAGGAAGAGAATATAAGAGACGTTTAGACTCAAGAGTCTATCACATGTCTCTATGAGCCAAGCCCATCAACAAGCACAAAGAGTGAAGCAAATCAGACAGGAAATGCATTCTTATAAGTTTGGGAGAAACTTCATTAAACCCTGAAAATATGAATAGAAACACTTGCCAGGTCATCCAAGTCTCCTGTATCTTCAGCCGGTGGTGCAGCCACCTCCTCTTTCTTCTCCTCAGAAACCAGAAACTAAGGACAACATTTAATTACTGCAAGAGATATGTTTCATGGTAGTTTAAAAAATGTCAATCATTCAAATCTTTCCTAGACAGCTTCAAAGGGGGAAGATTTAATCAAGTCACCTGATTAGCTTCGTTTTTGGATACCCTGCTTCCTTCAACCTCGTCCTTGCTGATCAGAGTTATGGCATCTGTCAATCAAATAGCAAGAGTCAAGTCTGCAAACATTAAGCTCCTTAAAAGGGATTAGGACTCAGGCACCAATCAGCTTCCTGTTTTCTATTGTTTACATATTTTTGGACTTGAAAAACTATGTGGAAACTTCACCTCCTCTCGAGGGAGGAGTGATTTGAAAGGAATCCTGGAGCCCTGAGTAAAGAGGCTTATCGCACCTTGAACAAGCAGGTCCCAGAAGACCTCCAGCCCTCTGTTTGGGATGCTTCTTTTCAGGGATTGAAGGTAGCTGTTGTACAGATCTGCATTCTCCAGCTGAAAGGTATAAAAACATTCAAAAATGCATTTATGAGTCTCTAACAGCCAACAACTACATACAGGCACAGAAACTCATAAGAACTGGCCTCTGTTCAAGACACTGTTATCTCAAGCTGAGTCATAATCTCCGCAGCAAAGCCAAAATTTAACGTCCCCATGTCTCTAAATTATTCCAGAGACTCCTAAAACAGAAACCCCCGCATCATCGTGCACTCCCCAAACTCAAGATAGTGAATGTTTACCTTAACCGACTGCTCCCTAAAAGCCTGGATACAGGTGATGCTTTTCATGAAGTAGTGTGTGTTCTTGTTGCTTAGCAACTGCTCTATCCTGTGAGTCAGTTGCTGACAGGCTGGGAAGGACGCAGGGGTCAACACAACCAAACAAAGAGATAAATACAATTACAAGGGCTGAACATGAGTCATGAGGGTTTAGAATACCACCAAAAAAAAAACAGTTTATCAGATCACCCGGAAAAACAAGACAGAAAAAAAACTGGACCTCACCCTCTCCGAACGGAAGACTCTTCTGCTTAATCAGAGAACGGAAATCTCGGGCTGGATTAACGCTGCCCACCTGGTAAAAGGGTTTCAAATTAGCAAGGAATTAGGTGAAATGTGAATTTCAGTGTTTAAACAAGTGGTGGAGTGCTTTAAATAAAACTAGCAGTTTTTATCAAGTCTTTATCCCTCTAGGATTATTCTGCCCATGCAGCTCCTTTCTCACCGAAGTAACAGAGCCTTCAGCGATGTCAGCCAAGTTAAACTCCTCCTCTTCGTCATCTCCTTTGGCCTTCTTGGTATCTGGCTCCTCAGAACTATAAATAACAAAGAAGGTCAGCTAGAATTCTTTAAACCATCTTAAAACTCAGCAAAAACCTCCACACACACAGAAACATTTTCATAAACGTACTGTAAGACTAAAATGTATAGTATGCAAGTATACTTAGTAGAATTTAAAATGCTTTTATAAACTATCGAACACAGAAACGTGTCTCTACTTAAAGTAACTTACAGCTTTAACCCAGCCCAAACTTTAACACAAATCAAACTCACTCTTTGCCAAAAATCTGAGCACTCGTCTTCAGCTTCTTTTTCTTCTCCACCTCAACGAGGGGAAACTTCTTTTTCATCTCCTCAAGTGAAGCCCTGCACTGTTCACTGATGAGATCAGGGCGCTCAAGAGCAGCCTTCAGCCACGGCTCCATTTGGGGAAGAGGGGTGCCTGGGTTCACGGCCCGATGGTGCAGACACTGAAAGAAAAGGTTTGGTGTGGGGAGTTGAAAGGAAGAAAAACAGACTCCAGCTGGTGAAGCTCTGGTCAGACACATGCATGTTTTTTTTTGTCTTACATGAGTAATAAAGCTTTTTGAACTTTCACACACAAGCTGGACTGCAGTACCTGGAAGTGCCTCTGGAAGGCAGGGTTGGGAATGTTCTGGACCTCGAACAAGTCCTTTTTTTCTCCATCTTCCTCCTCAATCAACATCATGGAGTCAATGAGAGAGTCTACTATCGACAGCTGGGTGTCTAGATAAACCACATAGCACATGATGTCCATTTACTTAAAAACAATGCCTATAAGATACAAAACAGACATAGCCCTGTGTGTGTGCTAACTACATGCAGGGATCCTGGAGAATCAATGTGAAAACTACTTGAGCCATTCCTTTTTTGCACAACAAAGCAGCAGTGTCATGTGTACACCTGCAGCTTTAAATATTTAAAGTGCAGCTGTTATAATCATGTTATAATGAAAGCCTACAATCAGTTCAACACAAGTGTGCGAGTTTGAGGCAGTTTGCATCAACAAAGAGCTCACATGAATATGCCTGATGTGCACAAACGGTACCTGATGGAGTGAGCTTTTTGTTGTTCTCAAGAGATGGAAATGTAAACTGTCTGAGGTCTTCGGTGAAGGGCAGCTGAACATACATCAGACACTGTTGAGGCAGAGAGACGGACCATGAACTCTGTGCTGTTTGCCGGAGGATTCAACAATTAGACTTAGACGTGATCTCACCTCGTAGTCTTTGGTGATGCATGGGAAGGCTGCTCCTACTTGAGGGTTGCAGCGCCGGTCGTAGGCGTAACGTACAATGGCCACCATGTCCAGTTCATCCAGTGCTCGGATTAGAGCGGATAGAGCGACTGCAGCATGCTGCTCGGAAACAACAGTGGAAACAAAAACTAGTCAGTAAACAGCATTAAAGTCTCGGGCATTTTAGCCATTTTTTTTTTCTTTTCTTACCTCGTCATCTTTGCCAGGAAACATCTTGATGACTTGACTCCCCATGAACTGATGGCGATGCACCTGCAGGAAGTAAAGACAAAAAAAAAAAACACCAAACTTTACCCCCAATTTCCACAAACTCTGTTCACACAGCGCCACGGGTTTGCTGACGGCGCTTGTCCCGCCTGCGCTTTACTTGCCACATGTGTAATTAAAAAAAGGACAATACCTGGCTCTGTTTGGTGAAGCCGAGGACAGCAAAGCACTTTCCATCATGCTTGTATTTCATCTGGTCTTGATCTACTTTTGCGAAGGGAACGATATCACTTCCATAACGAAAACCTGCAGACAAAAATAAAATGAAAGTCGCCATCTTTTACACTGTTGTTTAGAAACACATCAACACCAGACAACGACTTAAAAAGAAAAAAAAAACCTTCTCACCTTGGATGGTATCGTCCTTCTGCACCTCTGTCTCATTGTCGTCATCCAGACAGTAGACGGTCTCTCTCTTCACGTCGTCTCTTTTGTTGCTTTGAGCGTCCACCGTCGTCCACGATTTCTTAAGTTTCTCTTCGGTCACCTGGAAAAGAAAACCTTCAGCTTTCCTGGCAAACTTTACGTGACTGTTATTGATTGTTGCCACCTGTGTTTTTACTTGTTTGGTATTGTTTTAGCCTTTAAATGCATCACTTCCTGTATTAATTTTACTGCTTTTCGTCCTTTTTAAATTCCAACTCCTTTTACAATTTAACTCTTCAGCCCTCTGCTGCTTTATTCATTGAACCATCTCTCATTTCTTTTCCTCTTCATTCTTTGCTTACAGCCTGTGATGTGATGTCGTCCCACTCTCCCTCAATTTTTATTTTAATTTTGATCTCTCCTGGTTGATTTTAAACTAATTTTCCTTTATTGTATTGAACTGCCTCTTCTTCATACCTGCCTGTTGTATTTTATCTTATTTCTGTTATTTGCATTTATATTATTTTTGCCCTCTGTTTGGCCCCTCTATTGATCTCTGTTCTGTTGTTGTGTTGCTGTATTTGATTTGTCTGTGACAGCACTTTGTAAACAATTGTTTTTAAAGTTGCTATATAAATAAATGTATTATTATTATCATTATTGTGTTTTTTTTTTGTTGAGTTATGGGGACTGGCATTGCAAATTAGGCAATAAATGCTGCAGTGAGTGCCAACAGTCTACTTGCGTCATACTTCTCCCTATACAAATAAACATTAAAGAAAAGAATAACCATATGAAAGTTAGTGAAATGTATCTTAAGCATGTAGTAAGAGAATGAGCTAAACATAACTTACTGCTCTAAAGGTACAACACTACTGTACAATACAACTGGGTTAAAAAAACACAAAGAAAATAGGATGTTATGAGTAACCAGATGTTATATTCTTCTTTAAAACAAAGCATCAGATGTGTAATGTCCAGTAAACTTACTGCTTTATATCCAACGATACGGATAGACAGAGCGCTGCCAATGGTGAGCTGACAGGGCCAGGCCATGGGTCTCCTCTCGATACGCTTGAACATGCAGAGCTGTTCAATTGCATTCCTACAGCGGGAATAAAACACAAGGAAAGAAAATAAATTTCATAATGCAGCATGCAGTTAGAGAATTAAGAAAAATTATTCAAAGAGAAAATTGTGAAAAAAGCAGAACGACTTTCTCATTGAATCTTAGGGCCGGGAAATTCCTGCAGTATTGGGACAAATGGATTGTGTTTTGTTTTTTTTTTACATCGAGAGCTGATAACTAAGCCACTATCGTATGAATTGATGTTGAAGTGTATTTCCATCAGTAGAGATATCTAGATTGTGTGGATGACCAACTGTTTGTTATATCTGTGTGTTGTTGTTTTTACGTTTGTTGACAAAAATAAAGTACATAAAAAAGAAGGATGTGAGACATGATGGATATCTGTAGGAGCCCTCCAACCTGAAGGTGTAAATTTCCTCCAGGCCGTCCTCCTCATCCAGGGTAAGCACGATGTGTTTCATCATGTCCAGACCATCTTTCTGTTCACTGGTCAGTCCTTTGCCTGTGCCGTGATGACCAGGGCCTCTCCTGTCTCCATCTCCTCCACCTTCTTCATCTTCCTCTGCAGCAAATGGCAGACTGAAGAGGAGTAAGGTTAGGTTTCAGTTAATACCATAAAGGTTTGTATAATAGACTTTACAGGAGACCAAAGTCATTGTTGTTAGATTGATTAAAGTACTTGTCTTATATAAAAAGTATTAGGAGATGAGGGAAACCGTACATGGGTTTGTAAATAAGCTTGTATGAAAAATTTCTCAAATGCACTTTGGACCTTTAAATAAATGATATCCCCATTATATAACATATCCCCACATTACACCTTATACCTAAGTTATACACAGTGGTGTTTTAGCTCCTTATTCACTGGGCCACACCTCTTTACTTCTATGAATATCATTCAAAGCACATTAAAAGCATCACAGACAGATGTGAATGTTAAAGTCATCGATAAAAGACTAGAAAATATTTTCAAATGCAGTACATGACAGCCTGAGCAGTTTTGATGGATTCTATTAGATTTCAAAAGGACACTTTGCTTTATGTGTCAGAAACTTACAAAAACTGCAGGGTGATGTTAGCTTGTTTCAGGTTCTCAATGATAACGTCAAGGTGCTCAGAGCTGGCCTGAGTGTTGAGGTCAGTCAGGAGGGCAATGATGAGACGATCGTACTTTTTGTCTCTGAATAAAAAAAATATTTAAAAAACAGGGATTCATCCGCGTTGGGACAGAAATGTTAGAAAAATAAATATTGAAAAGAGTGGACAAAAATGTTTTTTTTTCTCTGATGAGTAGGAATTCTGTTTGAAATCAGAACATACTTGGTTTCTCTCTGAAGGAGATCCATGCTCACGACGAGAGCATCCAGCCCTGATAAAGAGTTAAGATGCTAACAGATTCTCAAGTTGTGGAAAAGAACAGGTTTTAGCTTTTAGCTCTCAAACTATTAAATCAACAATGATTTAACCAACCTAAAACTGATCTTTTTATTATCAAAGATGCATATTAGATCTTTAGTATTTATTTTGATCATCCTTATCTTCTATTTGATGTTAATATGACCTGAATGTTTTAGGCTTTTGGCCAAGTTAGACTAAACTGTTAACTGTTAACAATTAGCTTAAAGTGACAGCACAGCAGACATACTGGGTTAAAATTAATCAAAGATGAAAATACCATAATAATATAATAATAAAATAGTTTCACTTGTGATGCAGTTTATATAGGGCCATTTATAATCCCCTTAATTCAGCCTATCACAGCTGTGCTTGAATATATCTATTTGGTTTTCATTTTGCATGGTAAGCACATGTACCATAACTTATTTTTTATTCACCATATGATAGAATTCTTGATTAGAAACTGATTAACCTGATAAAAAGTATATAAATGTAAGTCTTATATATCAATACAATATATATCGTCGAGCCTCAGAAGGTGGATCTGATTCAGTTGTCATATAAAGTTACAAAATGTTTCCCCTGATAAGAAACATTTGTATTGTGAGCAAAGATTCTTCCACAGCTCATTTTAAATTCTAATTAGATTCTTATGAATGTGAACTTCAATCATTCATAGAGCTGCAAAGTCATGGAGAAAAAGGATACAATCAGCCTGCGAACCCTGTGGATGGACCTGATTCTGTATTTCCTCCAGAAGGTCAAAATCAGGCATCATGAGGTGACGATGCACTGAGATGTTCTGGTACTGACCGTCCTTATCCAGTGGGTTATTTGTGGAGTCCGTGCCAAACAGAACTAAAGCAAGTTCATCCTTTGTCTCTGCAAAAACCTGTCAAAAGACATTTTCCATTTGTGTCAAAGAGGTCAGACACAGATCCATAAAGTAGATCTTTGTTGTTTTGTAGTTTTTGGAAGGGCGAAGTATGAGAGTATATTTTTACCTGGCGCTGGACAAACTTCTGAATGACTTTTTTGGCAAGTTCAAAGGGAGGCTCTTCACCCGGGGCAGAGTTGGACATGGAGAATCCCACATCCATGCACAGCACAGAAGCTGACTTCAGTAAATACAAAATTACAACATCTCAGGTAAGACATTAGGGAGACATTTTCTGTTCATAACACGGCTTGAATGAGCCCAGACGGGAAATACATTTTATTGTGCAAAGGTCGGCTTGATTTGGGCCAACTTTTTCAATTTGTTCTCACATAGTGAAACGCAGTACACAATACATTTTTTATACAATTTTTAATACAATTTTTATTTTATCCTGGTATTATTCTATTATTGTATTTTTTTCTGCCTTTATTTAACTGATGTACATTTATTTATTTTTATTTTTAGTAATTTTATTCCTTTTTCCTGTTTTCTTGAGCTGCTGTAATGCAAAAATGTCCCCCATGGAGCATCAATAAAGTTTATCTTTATTTTGAATGGGACGGGTGGAGGGGGCGTGATCAGGACGCTTCAGTCTGAACAGTGAACATGTCCCAACACAGTCTATGGTCCCAACATGTCGACGACGTCAAATGTAGAACCAATGAAGACACAAACAATGTGTTTATAACGTTATCAAGCAGACATTAAAACACCAGACAGGTTAGAGCTGTTAGGGAGGTAAATTCATTTAAAATCCAAGAGAAAGTTACTTACTTTAGAACCTGCCATCTTCTTTTTCCCTCTTTCCAAAACCGCGTGTGACTGTGTTATGGCTCCGGGCAGAAACCGAGAGCGGAAGAAACAAAACGAAGGTTCCTTTTTACGGTGATTACGTTCCTGTAATAAATCTTACAAGATTCAACGGATCGATGGTGCTCGTTGTTCGCCATAAATTACTATAAACTTGTTCAACGAGCCATTACTGGACCTCTATAAAGCGGTGACAGTTTCCGTTGTGGTTTTTCCAGAGCTGGAGATGAGTCTGTGCAAAGAATGAATACATTAAGAAGATGTAGGTCAAACGCCCTCTTGCGCTTCAAATAGACTCTGTACAAAGAGTGAAGTCATGCTTTAAAAATGGCTTAAATAAATAAAGGCTTCTTAAAGTTAACCCATAGCACCAACCCTCCACCCCATTTCCGCGTATAAGACATTAAAAAGTCGTGTCTATCTTTCGGTCAAAGCATTTGTAGAGAAAATGATCCAACTTATACCAAAAATAAATGAATGAATTAGCTGTCATTTTCATTTGAAGCCGTGGCTCTGGGTCATTTGAGTGGTTTTGACACATATATTGTGTGTTCTGTGTTTTACCATTAGACTAAAATTGTATAAAATTAGACAATAAAGGCAAGCATAAGTTGATAAGTAGGCCTATTGTGTTGTTGTTTTTCTAGAGCACTACTTGGCTTTGGGGCAAAAGGCAACCAAATGTAGCACCAGAGTGCCAATAATCAGAACACCCAATCCCCCTGCATGGTGCTGCTGTGTGCACCATGCAGGGGGATTTATGCTTACCAAGAACAAAGATAACACCAGTTACCAGTGGTTCAATTTTCTTTTACAAGATGATGGTTTGTTTTCTACCAATATCTCAAGAGTAGCACATAATCTCTTGTGACATAATTTCAATGTCATGAAAAAAATTGTTTCCCCATCTGTGTAATTATTTGCTTTACATCCTGTGGCTTCAAACATGTTATGTTGAAAACAGACACAGGCAACATCATATGACGCATGTCTTTCTCAGTATTAAAAATAAAACATATTTATTTTACATAGTGGTCAGATAAACATTTCAATAACCAAATTATTCAACCATCTGCTCCACTTAAACCAACCTCATTTACTACAGCTGTTCAGAAGCGCCGGAGTACAAAACACCTAACAACATGATTCATCATTCTGCTTATATTAAATACTTAAAATAAATTAAATCAACATTGAAAGTATGTCTGTTCACTGTAACAGGAATTGCAGGTTGAAAATTACAAATAACTTCATTTAATTGTGTATGAACCAAAAATGTAAACAAAACACAAGTAGAGAGTAAGATAAGAACATCAGTGTTGATGGTGCAACAAACATGAACGTGACAGAAAAATCACATGTCCACCAAAGGAATGTCTGGTATGTCAGTTTTGTCTTACTATATGTCTATGATGAATTCATGGCTATGATCTTGTGACTGGGCCCGAGGGCAATGATGACCTATGACCCACTATAGATCCTTCTTCCTCTCTCTCTGCATTATGTACATGACTATCAAGTTCAGAGAACACAACAGACCACACATCACTGTTTCATTATATCCTTAAAGCCTTAAAGCCTTAAAGCCCAATCAGCATATGCCATGGTACATCTATGCAACCCAACAAGTTTTACAAATATGCACCATGTAAGCACACTATCATCAGATGCTAATGGATATGGTTCTATATTATTCTTATTGTTGACAAAACCCAGAAAAAGACCAACAAAACCATTAATCCTTCTAAGAAGAGTTTCCTCTCTAGAGCCTTTAATACCCTTTTCATCTTCAGCCATAGAGATTTATTTTGATCACCAATAAATAATTAAATTAAAAACATTAAATAACCCATCAATGTGAACCCATTTTGAGTCACTTCGAAATGCTTAGATCTGCAGTGCTAAGGTGTTTTAGCACCACCATGCACTTTATATCTGTGACCCTGTTTTGAAAGATGCATGTCTTCCTAAGGAAGCAATAAGCTTGACGTTTGCAGCTAAAGATGAAACAAATAAGACAGTTTCATGAGGCATGAAGTAACACATTGTTTGTTTTTGGCATTTTCATTGGATTAGTTTGTTGCCAGCCTTATTCAGATGCAGACACAGAACCTGGTGTCAAATTTTAGCACACAGTAATCCTTCATAAGCGGCCCAGAAGGCAGTTTTCTATTTTTTCCAGTTGAAAATCCTGCCTCACTCCAAACACGACTTCAGTGAGTGATAATAATGACTTCACAAATAAGACAGCTTTGACTCTGACATGGGTGCTGTTTTTGATGTCAGTGCACAGTACAGTGATCACATACAATAAATTACACCTATTTACAGATAATGTCAAACTTGTTTTTACACAATGTGTGTATCAGTGTCTACTCAATGTTTCTCTAAACTCTAGTACAGATAGCACCAAGGCCTGCATATCAAAAAAAGTTATGTGAGTGTGAGTCTGTTACAGAAGGTAACTCCAACAACCATAACACATACAAATAAAAAAAATTACAACATTTCTGTTCCCATGCTCCAATGAATAATTTAAAGATATCTGGATACGATAATGCCTAACAAAATTGAAAGTAAAAGTCCAGCATATAAGGACCATTCAGGCAGTGTTTGATAAGTTACAGAAAGTAAAACAGTTTTTGGATATTTTCCTGTGTAAAACTTGAACCTTCTGGCACATGCGTTTCAAACCACTATAAATCAGTGCTTACATAAACAAGTGCCTGCGCTTCCCCCGCTTCACACTGATGATGTCTGAGCGAGTTCACTGGGGGCTTTGCTCTGCAGAGTTCCAGAGACCGTATCAGAGTCAAGCAGCTCCACTATGCTATAGGGCGAGCAGTCCTCCAGTCCCAGCTTCCCACAGGCCCAGCCACAGAAACCTTTCTCCAGGTCTCTCACAACCTGCCACCATTCACTGGCAGCCCAGGACACCTGCACCACTGCTGAGTACAGAGCCAGAGACAGCGCCATGGGCATGATGAGCATGGGGTAGAAGATGATGAGGAAGGGGCATATGGTAATCTTGTGCCAGAATGTCCGCTCCTCATTGTACACTAGGAAGACGTTGTACCAGGTGAGGGTGCCGTAGTAGAAGGAGGTGATGAAGGAGAGGAGGAAAACCAGAGGGGCGCAGGAGATGCTCCACAGGACAACGTGGGGTCCCTGACACACGCCTAAGCCACAGGAGCGTTTATAGCCTTCACCTGCCTCACACTCTGCATCGAGACGTTCCCTCGACTTGGCCAGATCCCTGATTTCCTTCTCTGTCAATGTGAGGTGGATGTCCACCAGCTGGCCTTTCTTTTTTCCTCTGGTTATTGTGCCTGTCAGGGTGACGTAGCGGCTGTCTGGAGGAAGGCTCCAGCCTCCATCTAACAGGATGAAATAACAACATTACAGTTACCTTGATGACAAATAAAGATGAATGTCCCTTCCTTATGTGTCTCCTTGCAAGGGTTGACTTCAAATGACTGTTATGGTCTATTATCCAGTGATATTGTAATGTGATGCTATTTTTATCACTTTACATGGTCCCATACTAATGAAAGTACCACAGAGTTTTCTTTACCAAGTTTCATTGAATTCAATTCTAGTACATTTTTTAATCCAACAAGAGAACAAGGGGTCTTGATAAGCATACACATAAAATAGCTAATAGTCACATGCTAAAATATTGAAGAAGTTCTAATATGAATACTGCACATTGGCCATCAAATTGACTGGACAGCATGATGAAAGGACTGGTCTTGATTAAAAAAAACGTTCTGTCTTGATAATAAAGGTAAACGTGTGACTGCATATGTCCTAAACATGAAATCGATTCCATCAGTAATAAACACTGGATTCTCACCATCGCCTGTGGGTGTGCAGAGGAATTTAGCTCCTTCCTCCGCTCTCCTCTCTTCCCCCTCCTCACCACCTTGCTCCTCTCCAGATCCCCTCTCCATCTCAGAGCGGTAGACAATAATGGACTCTGGACGTGGGTCTTTCTTCTTCCTCCTCTTCCTCCTTATGGAGGGACCTGATTCTCCATCGTCCACATGGTTCCCTGATATGTCTGACCTTAAGGAGATCATCTGGGGGCTGCCCTCTCCTTCAGTCTGAGACTCCCCTACAAATGCCATGCTCTATCCTGCTCTAGTAAACTCGATGACTCTTAAAGGCTACTTAAAGGGTTGTTGATGGATGTCCCCCCATTGTGTTTTACAACTGAGGATGATTTCCTGTTAAACACAAAGTGATACAAACACACAGAAACAAAGAGAAGAAAGTATTTTAAGAGCAGGTTTGCTTTTTCAGTCAAAAATAATGTAATCCTCTATGTACAGTGATCCTGGCCTAGATTCTGCAAAGTCGTTTTTGCTGTAATGATGGCTGTTAAAATATGTCAAATCTCATTGGTATCATCATTGATCCAATGGTATTAGGCGTTTGAGCAGACAGAGACCTAATTGCTTCGGATAGCTGAAAAACAAAGCGTGAAAGATCTGATCAAAAGAGGGGGATGTCTCTCCTTTGCATGACAGAGCACCGAGAGCCTCTTAGTGGAAACGCTGCGAGCTCAGCCTAGATCCCTTAAATACAGAAAGGGAGAAACATAACCCTAACCCGTATTTCGTGGACTATTGTGATTATCTAAAAGAGTGAATGATTTAATAAGAAGGCTGATTAATCGACAATGCATCCCATTCTTCGCACAGCTGATCCCCTCCCATTTAAATCCCACCCATGTCCGCTCTTTTCTCTTTTGTCTGCAGACACCAGCCGGCGAACTGCATGCAACCAAACTACAGCTGCAGACACATTTAAATCTTACCTTTAATGGGTTGAACGAGAACCGGGTGGATCAATTCTGGCGTGTGTGGAAAAATCACAGGATTCGGCTAACATATTGAGGGAGCCCACACAACACAGATCTGTGTTTTGCCGATACAGATGCGCAACGTAAAGGATTTCCAGAATAGCACAAAACCCGCCTCTCCAACCTCTGTCACACCAATCCTGAGCAGATCCCGAGATATCCCTCCTCCTCACTGCTGTTCGGGCCTATGTGATCAAATGGAAAACTGATGGGATAAATCCACTAATGTCGTTTAGTGGCAACTGTGCCAGCGGATGGGGGCTGTAGGCCTAAAAATTGTTGACATTTTTATTCAATAGGCTAAGGCCTATCATAAATGAATACAATTTTGCATTATATTGACATTACGCTAT